ACTATAGTCAGAATTTTAATTAGATTCCAGATTTGACAATAGCTACTGTCATTTTGTGAAATAATGATACCACATATAATAGTGTAGTGATGAACACAAAAATCGATAAACAATCAGTGTGTGTGTTTTATAATAAATGTTACAGAAAGTGACAGGATAGCGATAGCGATGACGGCGACAATTTATAAAATAACTTATTACCATAATACATCTATCTGTTTTATTTGTCATGTTCCTTCATGATTACATTTTTTTATTTATTTCACACACAATTATAAAAGAAAAGTCTCAGATCGTTAAGTAATCGTCAAAACTAAATTATCGGTCAGAAAGATTTAATTTTCTGATATCCTTAGTTTACGAGAGTAAAATTATAAACGAGAAGAATCGATCCAGAAATATTGCATTTCCATATCGAATAATTTCGCAACGTCACTATTTAGTACTTGTCATAACGTTGCAACACTGAAATTGTCAAATCTGGAATCGAATTAAAATTCCGAGTATAGAGCTAAGTTACATGAAAACTAAAGTATCGACAACTATAATTAACATAAGGAATATACTAAAAAAGAAAGTAAAAATAGGAAATAACTTTATACGAGAAAATAAAAAAATACGAGTCTAATATTTTTCATTATGGACTAATTAGATTTTTAATTATCATACCCTGTCTACCACCCTATTCAAGATATCACCAAGTGCTTGTCCCATAAACCAAAATGGCGTCATTTCTCAAGAAAAATATTATACAATTGCAGTGATACATACATGGTGGTAGCATGTGACTCGAGATGCAGCGCGATGAGTAGATCGTAGAAGCCTTGTCGCAGCGGGCCCGACATGTACTGCGACTGGATCGCGTACAGCAACTGCTTCTGGTCCACGTGCGTGCACAGCGCGTGCGCCGCCCTGGCGCCACAATAATGTCATTGACAAAACTGATTTTAAAACGTGAAGCTATGATTTAAGGTTTATTTTTGTTTGCTTTGCAAAGATACTAAAAACATAATTTGTTTTATTTGTAAGGCTAAAGGCTTACGACGCGGCTAAAGGCTTTCTTCAGCGCCCGCCGCAGCGCAGTGGCGAAATAGAGGCGGAATTTTCAAAACTCGCGTGATCGCAGTTTTCAGCGGTCCCGCAGTCGCCGCGGTTGCGGTAATCGAATGGGCAAACTTGGCGGTTGATTATCGCAAGACGGGCGAGCGGTTAAACAATCAGTTGAATTACAGACCGACCTTCATTGCGGTCGCCCGTTCACCGATAGCAGAGCGCGGGTGCTAGCCGGCTGCCGGTACAGCGGCGGGTAGAAAACGCGCCGTGAATATCGCTTTAATTTCTTTACATACATATCTGTATTCTACAAAGCCTGCGGGCGCGGGAGATAATCGCGCTTTGAGTTATTAGCCTTAAAATCCTTGCAACGTTTCAAAAAAGTACATTTTAAATGTGTTACTTATTATCAGCTGCTAATAACATATTTCTAGTTCTTCTTATATGTCATCGAACCCTTCGACTTGTCCATATTATGCTTAAACTGATTGAGCTACAATATTGTAATTATTGTATTTTGAAGTCTAATTAATTGGGGTTCTTAATTTAATTATAGAACTAGAGAAAGGTGAGTATTTTCGGGAAAACCACAAGAAATATATTAGAATATTTTCTATGTTTTAACTCTTTGAGTACCTTCATTATAGATACAATTAAAGAACAATAGGATGCGGTTTAAACTGTCAAACACCAAGCGGTTACCGGTGACCGCAAACTATTGTTCTATAATTGTGTCTATAATGACGGTGCTCGAGGAGTTAAGCTACTTACCTATAGTTACTCTGGTAACACAATGCGGCATACAGCGTGAGTGTGTGTGAGTGGAAACTTAGAAGTTTGTCCATTTCTATTAGTTCTAGAATGTCTATGCAACGGTCTTCCTCTGTGGACAAAAACAGTATTTTTTATTTTATAGTATTAGAAAAAACATAATCATCACTTACTACACCATATTTTTTTTATGGCACAAACAAGGAAACGAGCAGACAGATCACCTGATGGTAAGCAATCGGCGTCGCCCATGGACACCTGGAACACCAGAGAGGTTACTAGTGCGTTACCGGAGTTTTGGGGATTAGGAATTTGAGAATTGTTGGAGATTCAAGGATTGGGGGGAAGAAGGCGGGGTGTGTGGTAATTGGGCCTCCGGTAACCTCACTCACACGACGAAACACAATGCAAGCGTTGCTTCACGTCGGTGTTCTGCTCGGCCGAGGTATCACTCCGGTCGAGCCGGCCCATTCGTGCCGAAGCATGGCTCTCCCACATACATACGTACATAACTTCACGCCTGTCTCCCATGCGGGTAGGCAGAGACTAGGGGACGTCAATTACTACGATTCCTACATACCTCTTTCGCTTTATCAACAGTCATCAATCTTTTCATGCATGTTCGTCGATTAAGGGTACTTATATAATTACCATCACCTTTGCCATAAACATTACCTGGTATATGCAACGCTAGCATAGACACTGCATCCTCACACAGCATGGACCAACCGCGGATGTCTGACAACTTCAGAGCGTGTACTTGTAAGGATTGGTTCGGTACCTGGAACATTCGATATAGGTGTTATATCTTATGTAGGTAGAATGTCGACCCGCTTACTAATTAAATACTCTGATTTAACTCGTTGAGTACCGTCATTATAGACACAATTAAAGAACAATTGGTTGCGATAACCGGTGTTCTCGCGGTGTTTGACAGTTTAATGTATCTTGTGTGAATAAAAAAAATAACATAACACCACGCCTTTTATCCCCGAAGCGGTTGGCAAAGGTGCACATTACGGCACTTAATGCCACTGTACAATGTAACACCCACGTTTTACTATTTATGTTATGAGTCCCATGTAATAGGGGGTGAGCTTATCGCCATATACCGGGCACAATTCCAGACTCCTATTGAGTTTTTTTAAAACCCATAATTTTTTGCCCGACCCGGGAATCGAACACGAGAGCCCTTGCCCAGCAGTCGTACTTGCGACCACTCGGCCAACGAGGCAGTTTATAAGTAATTTAGTAAGGACTTTAAATAGGAAGGCAATGCTTCAGATTTATATCACATTTGGTGCTTTAAATCAATTTTATTTTGCAACTGTGACAAAACTGGCATTCCAAGTTAGTTGAGTATCTATATAAATAAAAATGAATTTCTGTTCATTAGTCTCGCTAAAACTCGAGACAGGCTGGACTGATTTGGCTAATTTTGGTCTTGATAGGTTCGTGGAAGACTAGAGAAGGTTTAAAAGATGAGAAAAAACTTTTAGGCGGTACGAAGTTTGCCGGGTCAGCTAGTAATACATATTTTATCGAATTTAAATTTAAATCGTAGGTAATAGCAACAGTCCATGGGAATTTATAGGCTCTGTAACATATTTAATGGGTACTCACTCTAGCCCACTGATGTGGCTTCAAGCACTGCACTTTCAACCTGGGGGGGAACTGGGGGATGACGTGCTTGTCACTGGTCGGGAGCACTGCGGCCGACAGAGGCAGGCTGGTGGTAGACCTTCCCAGTTCTATCTGGAGGATCTCCTTCGACGTCGCCTCCACGAAGATTGCTGGGAACAGCTTCGTTTCTGGTTCCATCTGGTGGAAGAAGGTGAAGAGTTGGTTAGATTTTGCTTCATGTGATGTAACATAGGCAGGCAGAGCTTATAGCGTAGGCTTAATGCCACTGTACAATGTAACACCCACCTTTCACTATTTATGTTATGAGTCCCATGTAATAGAGGGTGAGCCTATTGTCGTATACCAGTCACATTTCCAGACTCCGTGCAACTACTGAGATTTTTTGAAAAAAACCCAGTAATACTTTGACCGACCCGGGAATCGAACCCGAGTCACACTTGCGATCATTCGGCCACCGAGGCAGTCTTGTGATATTTTAACTGTTATGATCAAGGGGGCTTCTTGGATCAAATTCCGATCGATGGACTCTTGAGTAGCAACACTAGCGCAGCGCCCATTGCATTCGTATTGCGTGGATATTGCATGAACTAAATAGTATTGAGTTTGATTATATATGTTTCGTACTCTAAATGTCTCTGAACGCTATTTTATTAACGATTGGTATTGTATAGTGTTGCCATTGAATAATTATTAAGATTTTATTGAATTGAAATTGAATCAACATTGAGATAGGTTTCATAATATAATACGGAATTTTAAAATGTAATTGAAAAACTTATAATATTCGCACTTATACCCAAAACACTCACTAGTCATCAATTACGTCATAATCAAAACCCTTACCTTGAATTTAAAGCTAGTATCCTTGCCCTCACAAGTAAAGGAGACAGTGCCAGTGGAGGTATCCACGGAGCACCCAATGAACATGCCTTGGGACGCTCCCTTAGCTGTGGCTTCAGCCATCACCTCGTTGTACAGCTCGTCAGCGCGCACCATGTAGCAGGATTGGCGGTTTACACTGGAAAAACATTAATCAACATAACATAACATCACGCCTTTTTATCCCCGAAGGGGTAAGCAGAGGTGCACATTTCGGCACTTAATGCCCCTGTACAATGTAACACCCACTTTTCACTATTTATGTTATGAGTCCCATGTAATAGGGGGTGAGCCTATTGACATATACCGGGGACAGTTCCAAATTCCATGCTACTACTGAGATTTTTTTTAAAAATCCAGTAATACTTTGCCCGACCCGGGAATCGAACCCGAGACCCCTTGCCCGGCAGTCGCACTTGCGACTACTCGGCCAACGAGGCAGTCAATAAATCAACGAGGAGAACAATAATCAAATTAACATTTATTTATCTTCTTCTTATGGTGCCACTTCATTCCTGAAGGTTAGCCGTTTCTGGTATTTGTCATTGGCCAGGCGGAAAAGTTGCTCCACAGAGCTGATACCAGTCCACTCCCGAATTATTAAGTGTGGGAGAGCCATGCTTCGGCACGAATGGGCCGGCTCGACCGGAGTGAAACCACGGCCTCACAGAAAACCGACGTGAAGCAATGCTTGCGTTGTGTTTCGTCGTGTGAGTGAGGTTACCGGAGGCCCAATTACCCTCCCCTTCCCCAATCTCCCCAATTCCTGAATCCCCAACGATCCTCAAACTCTTAATCCTCAAAAGGCCGGTAGGTAACACACTTCTACCGCCTCTGGTGTTCTAGGTGTCTTTGGACGACGCCGATTGCTTACCATCAAGTGATCCGTCTGATCGTTTATCGGCTTATGCCATAAAAAAAAATATTGAGCAGCCACGACTATTTCCTTCGCTCAGCGCTTCTCTTCCCTTCCACCATACACATCATTATAATATGAAGCAGCATGTATTTGCCACGTCTCAGTACGTGACCCAGATATTCTATCTCGCGCTTTTTGATGATTTGGATCATTTTGCGTGGGATGTGGACATTTATTTATGTACCTCTATAGTGTTTACAAATGATTGGATTCGATAGTATTTTGATTTACATAAAACATTATTATAAGAAAATATTTTCACCTTGTATCCCAATCCAACTGACGTTTTGTCATTTTTACATTGATTCCTATTAGGTAGACAATTGCCAGGTTTTTTTAGGACATTTAGGACATTGCTCGGTTGCCAAAGAAGAAAAAAAAATAGGTAGCCAATGAGATTATCATCTCATGGAATCTTTAACAACAAAAAAACTTAAAAACTAAACATCCGAGTATTAAATGTATCATTTGTGGCTTGGCATGTGACGTCACTTCTTCATCACTAAAAGTTAAACAATAACCAACTTGTTTTTTGTGCATAGAAATTAGAAGTCACACTAATTCAAACTTTATTACATAAGTGTCAAAACTCACTTTTCGATAACCCTGTCGTAATCATCGGTGATGATAACCGATGACTTGGTCACCTTGCTCTGGTTGAAGTCCTTGGAGTGAAGATGGTACTGGGTCGTCACCCAACCTATGTACACATGTGTCGGATCTTGACCGGGGAATATCCTGGAAATAAGACATTTTTTATATGTTTATGTTATTAATGATAGTGCATTTACATTTAGTTACGTGACACAATTCAGAGCATTTTTTAATTCAGAAAATAGATATTAAACTTCTCCTGTGTTAGAAATCAAATTTTACGAACATTTTGATTTCTTGAAGCAATTTACAAAATTCAATAATGCAATTTTGAACCCAAGACCTGTGTGTGACATTACAGCGTTTAGAAGTTGCCTTGAGGAATAATAACATTTGATTCAAAAATCGATCGATACACAAAACCTCAACCACACCACGTACTAACTAATGTACGTAATAGGTAATCCTATTAATACATTAATATATCGTACCGAAAGTTTGTTCACACAAAAGTAGTCTCTAAACATCGGAAATAAGGTCTATAATGGAGTTAGTAGAGAGCGGTCACCGGTGACCGCTTGGGGACTGAACAGTGGTAGTATAAATGAGTTGAGTACATTTGTTAGGGATAATAGTACCTCATTAAAAAAAAGAATTAAAAAAATAAAACCCACCTAACTCCATAAAAGTATTCATTGATGAGCTTCAAGCACTCAGCGTCGAAGATCTCATTGCCAACAGTTTCCGTCGTAGACTGCGCAAGAGTGCTCGTAGTCATTTGTTTCCTGTCTTGCGTAGGCGTCGCCATCTGAGCGTTGGACTGTGACGTCATCATCGTTGCGAAGAGAGAGGGAGAGAGGAAGAAAAATAGAGTGAATAGAGTAATGATAGTAAATATAATGGTAATAGAACTAAGAACTAAAAGTATAAGGTTTGTAAGAGTAGATATACTTTTCTATTTTAGCTAAAGTTAGAACTAATTTAAAAATCTCTACATTGGCATTAGTAAATCGAAACCACATTTCTATAATATATGTTGTACCTACATATGTATGTTAAAACAATTTTCGATTATAATTGATAAAAAACATATTAAAATCAAGACGCACAAAAACCTCAAGTACCTTGTTGATCTCAAAGAATTTAGGTAGTTTTCTGCAAACCCCACATTTTAACCCCATAACGCGTAGCTCCGAAATCTATTTGGCTGATTTTGACTCAGTCGTATTCCATTCGGCTAATCGTTCAGCCGTTGTATTACAAAACGCCCCTGGTTTGCTTAATGGCTAGCCGCAATTTAATACAGTGGTTTATACAATTCGACTGCGATATATGGATATAAATTGACTTGGTTGTTATATAGGTCATAATAAGAGCATTCAAAAAAGTACGAACACTGATCGATGTCAAAGTATTGGCGTCGACAGAGAAGTGATTATAACAAATAAGTCTCTAACGAGAAGTAATATTTAGTTAGTAAGAAAAATCAATGAAGAATAGATGCTTTGTTAGTTCAAAACAGGGTTTTGTGAGGACTTACGTTGAGACCAACTTGGCTTCCGTACAAGTTGGTCCGACTAGGGCGCGCGTTCATGCCGTTATATCTTTGATTCGCCTTGTGAGAAATTAACAAAATCATATGAAAATATTATGAGACAAAATGGTGGTAATGTGTTGGGATCGAAGGACCAAAACATGGCTTTGATGTAACTAGAATAGAGTTCAGTCCTTTTGTACATAATTTTTTTTGTAATGTGGTAATTTTTTTCGAAATTTAATCCTGATTGAAATTAAGTTACAAACATAAAACCTGTGTAAGAAATAGTGGTATGCTGTTATTATTCTGAGACGACTTTTTCTGACATTTGATAAAATATAATTATAGATTTTTTAGGGAATCTTATTTCATTTACTAATTTGTATTTTTCAATTGAGATTATTATGGTGTTAACCTCTCTCTTGAGGTTTGAAGGAGACTCAAGATATCCACAATGTGATTAACATAAATGGTCGGTATCTTTGACATAAAATTGACGTATAGACATTGAATAAGTCCAAAAAATTTAGTAAATTATTCCAAAAATAAAATTATTAAAAAACGAACAATTAAAGCCAAACTTTTTACAATTAAACCTTTTTGATCACCTTAGTTTTAAATAAGGATTCGTGTGTCCAATTTTAAACAAAAAGAACGATGCAAAATGGTCTTTATGTCTTTGTAATAGGGTTTACATACCTGTGACACTTTGATCTGAGGGTTTGGTCTTCGAGGTCCACGTTCAGGGGATACTTCGGTGTCACTGAATGGATCTGGTGTCTTGGACTTACGACTCTTGGCACGGTCGCTGCTTTCACCTCGTTTGCTTCTGAAGAACCTGGGTTGATAAAAGTTCGTGTCAAATATTTGTTTCGACATTTTTCTGGAAATAGCTGAGCAGTATTCAGTAATGCATAATTATGTAAGAACTCCTTGCAAATAAACAAATTATGAAACCTTGTGAAAGCTCAGCACACTTTGCACGACCTGAGCATCGAACTCTTTTCGGTTGACGGTCGCGTTTGTAGCCGCGAGACCCACAAGGCTGTCAGTTTAGAGATACATATCTAATACCTTTAAACGAGCAATTCTTGTATATATGTATGTATCAACGATCTCGGAAACGGCTGCAACGATTCTCGTGGAATTTTGTATTTAGATCGATATGTAAATCAATCTAGCTAGGTGTCAATTTCAGAAAAAAAAACACAGGGCAAAGATTATCGTCGTCATCACGGTACCTACTCTGCCTATTAAAAGTGAGATTCATTCGTTACATTTAAAAACTTCATACCGGATTAACTAAAAATCGCGGGTTAATCACGTGAATATACTTCCTCATGAGCAGCGTGTGCGGTAGCGGTGACGTCACGTAGCCTCCATCGTTCACGTGAGTAACCCGCGATTTTTAGTTAATTTAGTATGTCGCATGATAGTTATTATAAATCCATACCAGATGGTTACAAGACAAATATAATAAGAAAAACCAACTTACTTGAAAGGTGACCGTCCTCGTTTATCCTTCTTATCATCAGGACTCAAGTTCTGTGCTCCCAAGTCGTATTTAGCCATCTCAGCCTCACTGGTCGACCGATGCATACCGTTTACTTGACCTGTACCAAAATATATATTTGAAAGAAAAAAAAAACAAAGGACCATTATTGTCTTTTTAGTTAAGTCACATGCGTATTTGCCGCATTAAGTTAATCTATTTTGTGGATTATAATAATTAGAGATAGCATTAATTTTAGCTATAATTACACATTACCTAAATCAAATCTAGTATTATTGTACCGGCTGTGCTTTGACGTCGTAACCCATCATTTCCAGAAAGTTGACCATATGGGGGGGGATTCAGTTTACTTAAAATGGTGGACTTTTTCATTAAATTTCTTATTAAATTACAATAAAACACATTGATAACAGCAGGAGATTCGATATATAAAACATTTCATTTTAGATAGATTTGAAGAACAAGATAGTTTAAAGATTATAGGCCCCTGGTGTACCTCGAAATTAGTTGAGTAACCTTTTCGAACAACTTCATTAAAATGGAAAAGCATCTAAATCCATCCTAACAAGCAAAAACAGTGCTCAAGTGAAGAGAAGAGAAGTGCTGAGTTATTTTGAAAAAATAGGTTATTTTAGTCGTGAGTTTAAAGAAAAAGAGATCTTAGTACGATGGCAGTAAGTGTTTTAGTTCAGCGGTAATGCGTGTAGTGTTATTATTTATAGTTTGGTGTTGTTTCCATTTTTATAATGTCTAGTTCCATATCTCCGAGTGGTCGCAAGTGCGACTGCCGGGCAAGGGGTCGATTCTTCGGGTTATATTCCCGGGTCGGGCAAACTATTACTGGGGTTTTAAAAAAAATCTCAGTAGTAACACGGAGTTTGGAATTGTGCTCAATATATGGCAATAGGCTCACCCCCTATTACACGGGACTTATAACATAAATGGTAAAAAGTGGTTGTTACATTGTACAGTGGCATTAAGTGCTGTAATGTGCACCACTGCCAAACCCTTCGGGGATAAATGGCGTTATGTTATATAGTTCCATACCTATCAATTGTTTATCTCGCTCTTTATCCTTTCCAAACTACCTATTTACCTTTTAAACTTCAAAATTTTGAATTCTTATTTAATTCTTCTTTGATTTGAAACAAGCAAAGAGTTAAATTGCTATATTCTCTTATAACCATAATCTCTTGTTATCGAGTGATACCTTTGTGGTTTTCTGATTACCCTTTTATTTAGGGGTGGAAATCATACAATGGCTACTCTCGCTCGCGTGAGGCGGGAGGGAGTGTCAGATTCTTACTGACTAAAAACCACCCCGTTCCTACTCCTGCACTTCGAGCCGGAGACCCGGCAGTCCATTAAGTCCTCCGCGGCTCGTTTCTGATTACCCTAACCAATTCTCTTTACTCATTTGCATAACAACCACGACCAGTCCTTTTTATCCATCCCATATTATATAATTCAAATCCAAAGACCATTTCAATAGCACTTACCTGTCACCAGTATCCCAAAACCCTACGCAAGATGACACAAACGACAAAAAAGCGAACAACAGAAATGATTTGACAATACCAAAGCTTGCGTTAATATCAAAAGCGTTTAAATAACCTGGTTGTAAATTATTGTAATTTTGTATAGACACGCCTCTGGTCATCGAACCCTTACGTGGAGGTCTCGACGGTTGCCGCTTGACCTTCGAACTTGGGACCTCTTCCTGATTGTCCTCGTAGTGCAAACCTACAGCAGGATGGGGTAAAACAAGGTGAAAAGCATATAGGTTTTTTTGGGGCAGGTGTGTGCAACTGTCTCGAAATATTTTTATATTTTGGTACGAAAGACCACGAAACAGATATGCAATTCGGTAACCTTCAATCCGAAAGTCAACTCAATCGGGGTCCGTCATATCATTGGTTGCGAGAATGATCTCGACCAATGACGGACGAGAATGCAATAGAGCTCACTTTGAAATTTCGAATTGACAGTTCGAACTGGTCTACTATTCTGTTCCTTTCGCCAGATGTGATTATTTGACAATGAATATTACAGACATATATTCTTTAGATGGATCTAAAGGTATGCGTATTAGGGGAAAGTCCCGTAATGCCGGACGGCACCTAACGCCGGACACTTGTATTATCTAGATACCTAATAACGCGAGCGATTCAATTTTTACTAAAAATATTAGGTCACTTGGCAACTTCCCCCTAAAAATTGAATCACTCGTGTTATTAGTTATCGAGATAATACAAGTGTCCGGCGTTAGGTGCCGTCCAGCGTTATGGGACTTGCCTCTATATCTAAACAATGCTTTGATTTTGCCTGTTAACATTTAACCTCAAAGGCCAATTTCGCCTCAATTAATACTGCTCATCTAATAGATGAATTGCATAATGCTATGAGCAGCCATGCAGCATTGCTTACCTACTTTAAGTACAGAGGAAAAGAATTTTGTACAATTTTGGATTACAAAAACATGTGCCGAATAATTTCCAAATAAACTAGTGTATTTACATTGCACACACCTTCTGGATAGGGGTCTATGGTGCAAATCATATTATGATACAAAGAGAAAGCTAATCTAACATAAACAATTGCAGGGTGCTAGGCTATAGTTTATTTACTTTAGACTTGATAAGCCAGGTACTTTCAATGATGTCATAATATATTTGTATTGTAACTTTCGTGAGTCATACTAAATAAATTATTATGTTTTCGGCTTACTCACGTAAAATTTTGACGAGGAACTCGACTAGTTTCAAGCCATGCTAGAGGTGCGACGCGGCGACTGACACCGCGTTGCGGGTCGTGAAATGCTGCTCATGAATACGAGCCTCTAGCATGGCTTGAAACTAGTCGAGTTACTCGTCAAATTATTACGTGAGTAAGCCGATGTCAAAATATGATCATGAGGTTGAGAAAGTGCCAAAGTAAATACGATCTGGCCGATTGCCGCTAAACGGGGTAAGCAGAATAGTAGTAATATTGACAGAAGATTAAATTACAAAAGAGCTTTCGAGATGGGTGTAACGCTCCAGAAAAACGCTGATAAAATTGTTTATACAATTTTAATCGTTTTTGTTTATGTTTTATTTATGCAACATCAGCCTAGAGCGGTTCATCATCATATCAGCCATAGGACATCCATTGCTGAACATAGGCCTCCCCCAATGACTAGAGCGGTTGATTACAACTATTGTTAGAAAAAAGAAACATTTCATTCTTTACTTTTGTGTATATAATCCAAATCAATATTGTTTACTTTAACGCTTTGTCATTTTCTAGTACTATTATCATAGATATTCTACATAATAATTTAGTTTTAATGAGTTAAATTAAATGTTAACATAATACTACTCATTTGAGCCTTATCGAATGAAAACCATTCACTTTTTCATTGAAAATATCTGTCTTATCAAGTCATAGGGGGTAACAAAAACAATAAGGACTTATTTAGAACAAAAAGAGATAAATTGGAACTTTAAAAGCATTCCCCATTAAAGATATCTGTCATACCTTTAATATCATTCATGGTGAAGCCACTCCTCATGATCTGGTCGATGTGAGCAGGCATCTGAGCTTCCACGGCCTCCTTCATCAGAATCTGCTGGCGTTCCTTGATTTCCACCCAGCGCCTGGCTTTTTCTGCTTCACTGTTGAAGCGTATATATTAGTATTAATTAGATTATAAAACGATAAACATTTTTGTCGTGAAGAATTTCATTGAGGAATTGGCTACTTAATAAATTGTTGACAAAACTAAAATTCATAACCGTAATAAATGTTTGTACTTGATTATTACCTACATCTTGCAGTCAAGTCAAAAGTGACGAGATATTTTATCCCTAACTGCTTATTCACGACACTTTTTAAGGAAAGAAAATTATCGAATATCTTCTCCCGTCTTAGGCATGGCGGAAGGGAGTGTCAGGCTCTTACTGGCTAAAAACCACCCCGTTCATACTCCTGCTCTTTGAGCTGGAGCCTCGGTAACCGATTAAGTCCGCTGCTCCGTATCGGGCATCAGCCCTATTGGGCCCAGACGACCTCATTCAAACGATATTTTGAACTCTTCAATTTGTTTGAAAAAGCTAAGTACGTATACAAAAATATTAATCACGCCTCTTATTCCCGAAGGGGTAGGCAGAGACACTTAATGCACTGTACAATGTAACACCCACTTTTCACTATTTATGTTATAAGTCCCAAGTAACATTGGGGTGAGCCTATTGCTATACCGGGCACAATTCCAGACTCCGTGCTATTACTGTTTTTTTTTAAATACCCAGTAATACTTTGTCTGATCCGGGAATCGAACCCGAGACCCCGTGCCTGGCATTCGCACTTGTGACTACTCAGCCATCGAGGCAGTCCAACAAAAATATTATTTATTCTATAATACCTATCGTACGTATGTACCTACTCTGATTGAGCAGTACCTATACAATACAGATGGTACCGTTATGGTACCCAAATGTATTGTGCGCCATATATTGAATTCCGACTCGTAGAATAATATCGGAAATGTGAACTACTATGTGGAACTTATTGCAAGTGGCTCAATATTATTATTTTTATGCTCACCATCATCATCATCAACAGCCTATAAATGCCTACTGTTGAGCAAAGACCTCTTCTCACACGGAGAAAGTTCGGGCACTAATCACCACGCTTGCTCAATGCGGGTTGGCGATTACAAACTTATATTTTTAATTGTATTTTTCTGCTAAATTTGTATTATGTAGCTGTTGATTAACCATGAAATAAATAAACTTACTCGATAAACTCGTTGTGGCAGATGACGGGTAGTGACAGTCGCAAGAACTCCCAGTTCGCTTTTTCCATAGTCTCGAATGTGTTGTGAGATATTTTCAAGCACGGTGGCGTGTCTGTAGGAAAATATGATTGTATTCAACAAAATTAATTAGTATTTCTATAAATCCTGTTATTGAGAGATATTCGTCAAAGGAATGGCATCATTGTATTCTACAAAGAAGTGGCCTACTAGCTAACTTTTTGGCTAATCGTGTGGTTAAAGAAAAAAAAATTATCCAGTTCCAAACTTCCGATACAAAAATTACTGTACCTTAAGGCCAAGATGTACGGTCAAAGGTCAAAAGTCCGCTGCCACTGTAAGATACTATCGGTTGCGCTGCAGCGCTTACACACACATGCACACGCATATTTGTATCCGTGTGCGTACGCGTGCGTGTGTTTACGCGTATGCACGCGTTCTTATATGCACATTAATATGAAATTACTTACCCATTGCCGTGTGAACATCACTCACGGTGGCAGTGGACTTTTGACCTTTCACTGTACTTGAAATGTATATGAAGAAACTGCAAAGACGTGTATGCTTCTGGTCATGCCAGGTGGCGGTTTTCTGCGCTTCTATCCTTTTACTATGACTCAAAACTGAGTGTAACCAAGTGCGGTGGAACAGGCATTTTTCTCCATTCACTGTTGCTGTCACATAGTAATCGTCCAATGGTGTGAAAAACGAAAGAATCATACTAGCGCCATCTGGTGAGTACTTAAAATACAGTAGCCCCCATTAGACGTACGTAGTTTCACTCTTATGGCTTATGTAATTGTTTAGTTGTTTTTTATAATAACTATCGTGAGACATACTAAATTCAATAAAATCGCGAGTTATTCACGTGAATATACTGAGAAAACCTCTACTAGTTTCGAACCACAGAGGGGTTCTTCCTCATGAGCAGCGGGCGACGTCGCTACGCATATTCACGTGAGTAACCCGCGATTTTACTAAATTTATGTATAGTTTTATATACGGTTAAATAATATTGATTCTTACCAGATCCAGCAGGTATCCTAGTAACATCAATCCTGGTGTCGATCATCTCGTCCGTGTTCTCGAAGATGGGCTGGTCCTTCGTGTACCAGTGTGTCACGTCGCGTTTCATGTTGCTATGGAAACGACACGTATATTGTAGGTCATATTGTATAGTGGTACCTACAGCTCATGAGAGTCCACTGCTGAAGACTGAGTATGAGTTTGTTTTATGTTTAAAATTATCGGAACGAGACCGCGTTCGTTGCTGTGTTTGGCCGGTCGCAATGAACCAACCAATAAGAGCGCTGAACGCGGTCTCGTTCCGATTACATAACATAATATAACATCACGCCTTTTATCCCTGAAGGGGTAGGCAGAGGTGCACATTACGACACTTAATGCCACTGTACAATGTAACACGCACTTTTCACTATTTATGTTATGAGTCCCATGTAATAGAGGGTGAGCCTATTGCCATATACCAGGCACATTTCTAGACTCCGTGCTACTATTGAGGTTTTTTCAAACCCAGTGATACTTTGCTTGACCACTCGCCAATGATACAGTCAGACTACTTTAAACATAAAACAAGCTTGTACTAAGCCTTCTGATTGGTTGGTGCATTGGAGCCGGCCAATTTCTTTAGACCCCAAGTTCTATAGAATATTAGCTTCCACTATAAAAGAAGACTGCCGCAATGTTTAACATGCCAGTCGAGTTGCAAATCCAATTAGGTGTATAAGAGAGTTCTGGTGCAAGCAAAATTAATACTTAATTGGTAGCTCATGTCTACCAAGCAACAAAACAACATTATTAAATAAAAGTATATTATGTATGGCTCGACGCATATATAATCATTTACCAAATTCATTTCTGGGCATAAGTGATGAAAATATATTTAAAAACAGTGTTAAAACACTGTTACTGAAAAAAGCATATTACTCTGTCACAGAATATTTACAGGATAAGCTTATACAATGTTACCTCATTTGTAAAATACTAGTTTATTGGTGCCTAATATGTGTTATTGTATCTTTCTTTTAAATTTGCATGCCTTTAAGGTAGAATATGGTTAATGGACACTATTTTGTATAAGACCTTTTTTTGTACCCATGTTCGCAAATGAATAAATGATTTGATATGATTTGATTCATCAATACATAGTATAAAACAAAGTCGCTTTCGCTGTATGTCCGTATGTATGCTTAGATCTTTAAAACTACGCAACGGATTTTGATGCGGTTTTTTTAAATAGATACAGTGATTCTTAAGGAAGGTTTGTATGTATATACATATTGCACCCGTGCGGAGCCGGGGCGGGTCGCTAGTTATGCTATAATTCGTTTTTTATACTTACACACAGAATGGCTCATAGCCCTCCTGAAGACCGCACGTCGTGAAATATTTCAGGGTGTTCACATCTTGACCGTATGTTAATCTGTTAGACAAATAAATATATGAATTAAAAAATATTATTAGGTAAAATGTACTAAAGGTACTTAAAGACACACGTATCACTAGCGCCGACTGATGAGAACGAAATTGAAATAGTTAAATAATGCAAATGGACAATCCGACCTACAGCTTGTTATAGCTATTCGCAATTTCGTTCTGTTATTAAAACCCCAAGATCCCCGCGGAAGGCTTAACGGTTTACCGGTGCATGGCTCGAAGAGCAGGAGTAGGAACGGGGTAGTTTTTAGTCAGTAAGAGTCTGACACTCCCTCTCGCCCAACCCAAGGCTGGAAAACTCATTGGATGATTTTTTCCCCCCTCAAAAAAAAAGATTCCGTAAACACTTACCTGGCTTTCTGTCCCACTCCCAAAGTGCAAGCTGGTACGAAGTTATCGCCCTGAACATCTGCGAATGTGGTCTCTCCACCGAGAGCGTCCATCAACAGCTCTCCGTTCAGAGAGAAACCTGTTGCATCATGAAGTAATGTTAGCAAAACTATTCATTTAGCAAGAAGTATTCTGAATTTAGAGGTCCTATTTTCCCAGCGAAATACCTTTCATTTTTTTTGTAGAAGTCTATGCACCTATTTAATTGACATTGATTAAAAATGAAGAGCAATAGATACCATTGTTACGGTAATAATATATTATACATCTAGATATTCTAGGTACCATGTCCTAACGCAGTGTTAGACAAAAGTAGACTAGCAGAAGTCAAAAATTACAAGAAATCTACCTTTAATTGTGTAGATTCATAGGTAGATTTTGCGGATCAAAAACATGACTTACTTAAAAACGGTATTTTTGTCAAGATATTATTACGTTGAGTAATGTTTTCGACTAATAAAATAGGACCTCTTTTTAGGCAACTAGGTTTTCTAAAAGTGCAATTTCTATTAACAATATGTTACAAAATCCCTCATTTTTACCATATAAGAAATATACAATTTATCCTCATTATCTTTTTCAATAAACAAGGATTTAATAACATATTGTATGAATATTGTAGACAACAATGCTATCTCTTTCTTCTAACCATAATTAGAGAGAGAGACAGCAATATTCCATAATTAGTAGACAGTTACACACTAAAGAAACAAATATAAAGAAGGGATTAGTTTGTTATTAAGGATTATTTAAAAGAACACTTTATGTGATGGGCACTTAGTTTCAATATGTATTAGCACTATAGGGTTTGTGGAATAGAAGTTGAAATACCAATTCCTTATAATAATTCGATTCTCATGTTTGATACAAGAATAATGATACATACATACATACATAACTTCACGCCTGTCTCCCATGGGGGTAGGCAGAGATTAAGGAACGCCAATTACTACGATTCTTACATACCTCTTTCGCTTCATTAACAGTCATCAATCTTTTCATGCATGCTCGTCGGTTAAGGGTACTTTTAATTTGGCCCTTCTTTAATATATCGCCAATCTGGTCACTATATGTCCGTCTAGGGCGCCCTCTACCGACGGCCCCATTCATACCCGCTCTGTATACTTCTTTCGTTACTCTACTTTCATCCATCCTTTCTACATGTCCAAACCAGCGCAACATTCCTTTTTCAATCTTTGTCACTACATCATCTTTCAATCCACACCTTTCTCTAATAACACTATTTTTCACTCGATCACTCAATTGAAGAATAATGATCAAACCATTTATACTCTTGTAAGCAAGGATATACAGTAGAGATCAACCAAAAATACTGAGACAGTGTTGGAACGCTGTCCTGGTGGCCTGGAGGTTTAAGACGCCCGCTTCTCATACATGAGAAAATAAATAAATAAATGACGGCGCAGTTCGAACCTACCAAAGGCAAGTACCAATGTGACTTTTTCCCAGATATGTGTGCTTACTAAGATTATTTAGCCTCTCGCGCGTTTTTGTACACACGTACGAGTGTGTACGAGAGAGTTGAGTGCCCATCGCCGCAATTGTACCTCTACACACGGGTGTACGAGAGTGACTTGCACCGATTGGAAACTTTTTCTGTGATGTACATTTTCAAGTTGCAACCCGTTCTTTATTTGATTGAACAGTATAGTTCATTCGCTTTCTATTAAACCCGTGTACGAGACGCGCGAGAGGTTAGACAACACTGACAAACAGTGAGGGAAAACAAGAGAAAACCTGGTCTTATAATTTCTAATTATAAGTTTGAAATCGCCAATCAACACTGGGCAAGCGTGGTGCTTAATGCTTAAACCTTTCTCCGTATGAGAAGAGGCTTTGCTCAGTAGTAGTCTTTATAGGTTGTTGAAGTTGGAACGCTGTCAAGTGTCCCTGGAGGGACATCATCAGACAGACAGTCTTGGATCCCGAAACCAAATCAGACAAAGATAAACTAGAGGATATTGGTTAATTATAATATACTAGCTACTTCCGCGCGGTTGCACCCGCTCTGCTCGACTCCTATTTATCATAGCGTGATGTTTTGTAGCCTTTATCTTCCTCGATAAATGGAGTATCCAACACAAAAAGAATTATTGGAATCGTACTGGTAGTTCCGGAGATTAGCGCGATCAAATAAACAAACAAACTCTTCAGCTTTACAGTAGTATAAGATTTGAAACTATAGATTTTGGTAGAACATCTACGTACCTACTTACTAAGGAAATTATCAAAATCAAAATTGGTATTTCAACTTCCATATTGAACACGAAGCCACTAGCATTTTTGAAATTCTATCTAAGCCTCTATAACTTAAAAAATATTCTTTTTAAACACTCTTATTTTACGTAACATAACATAAAGCCTTTTATCCCCGAAGGGGTAGGCAGAGGTGCACACAGAAGTAACACCCCCATTTCACTATTTATGTTATGAGTCCCATGTAATAGGTGACATTATTGCCATATACCAGGCATATTTCCAAAATCCGAGCTACGATTGATTTAAAAAAAAAAAACAGTAATACCTTGTCCGACCAGGAAATCGAACCCGAGACCCCTTGCCGCACTTGCCACCACCCGGCCAACGAGGCACTCGTATTTTAAAGGTAACTAAATTGCGTTTTACACGACATACGTTACCAATTAATAAAATACTTGTATTAGAAAATATTTATCAAGAAATGAAAAAGTAAAAACGCTAGTGGCTCCTTTTTTTCCTACCAAATGTATAAGATCAGAACTACACATTAGTTACACAAAGAAAAGTCTTTTAGGAATGTTATTTACAATGTTCTAATATGGGTCTTATCTACATTTAATATGTTTTACTATCTAAACGTCTAGGCTACTCAGTTTTGTTACGATACTACTTTTACCCGACTGTTGCTTAATGTATGATGATGTTTTCATACTGCTAATGATAGACTAGATTTGATCGCACTCTCTTTAGCAGGGATCATTTAGTTTCATATTGTGTTTTTTTATATATTTCTTAGGTACGTTTATTTTCATTTGAATGTCAGTATGATGAATAGTATTTTTTCTACTTTCCAAAATAAAAGATGGTAGATACCAAGATTGAGTCTAATCTGGGTCTTTAGCCAAACGCCACTTTAGCGCTTGTCTACAGAGAGAGTAGAAATCAAAATGTATGGGGATGACACTGACAAGTATCAAAATTTACGTCGATTCCATATAATTTGGTTTTATATTCTACATGTAGACAAGCGCTAAATGGCATCTGGCTACAGCTGCTGAATAGCTATTTGCGTTTATGAGGCGGCGCTACAGTCAAATCAAGTTTTGTGTTGATATATGTCAAATCAAGTTTTAAAAATTTATAGCATATTAATGAGTATTATATTTAATCAAGACTGCAAGAACGGTACTAAAAATTTAAATAAAATTGGTTTCCATACGATGAAGTGACTCGCTCACCCCCAATCCCGAACAATTCTCAAATTACTAATACCCAAACAGCCGATTGCTTACCCACAAGGATACCCGTAGGGTCGTGTACCGGCTTATCCAAAAAAAGAAGTTATCCGTAAATGAATGTAATAAGGTGAAATTGAAATTCTACTTTTCTCTAGAAATCGACTTGAAATCTAGATTTTAAGCTATTTAGGCCCTACCTAATATAATATACTATACTAATGCTAATAATAGCTAATGCATTTAGGGTATTTAGCAATATATGCAATATACAAGTATATAATATAGGTACTAGTATATTGCTAAATAGCCTAAATGGGTCCTAAAATGATCCCAGCAAAGAGTGATAAGTGATCAAATATAATAATTATGAATGATTTTGAATCATAAAAGTGCTAATTTCATTCATAGCAAGCAAAGCAATGCGGTGTTCTTATGTCGATGTAAGCGATTCGCGTTCAAGCATTCACTTTGGCATTTGTGGTAAGAAGAACATTTTTATTTAAAAGTAACACTTATTTACATAGGAATAAGTTTCAAAATATTATAAGAAATAGAAGAATTGTAGGGTAGGAATAGAGAGGGAAAGAGAAATTGTTTGGTAGAAAATTGGACCTTAATGTAAGAAGCAAAATAGCTAAAATATATATGACGGCGCCGCCGTCATTATTTTGTAAACTGCGAATGTAATGGGCAAGCAGTGAACAAACAACTGACCGACGTCACTTCAACCCCACCACCGAGTGATATATAAAGCAGCGCAAGCGCAAGCTCGAGTCAGTCGTTCGTCGATCGTTGCCCAGTTCACACGTTACGCAATCGCTGAGTAATTTTATTGTTGGTTTTATTTGAGTGTTTCCTTTATATAATCAGTGCTGAATTATTCAATTATTATAATTAAAAATTAATGTGAAAGTAAGTTCATTTAATCGAAATAAACTAAGTGATTGTGTGAAGCCCTCTGTTTTATTTTCAAATAATGTCGGACCCTGATCCTACATATATACTTTTTACACTAGAATATTCCAAAGCATTAATTGTTATGTTGAAATTAATTCAGAAACATAAATTGCGAACATTTTTAAATAATATTAGCTAGCATGCCAATATCAACTGACAAGCAAATTTCAACTGTATCATAAGAGCAATAAAGTTGAATGTTGTTTAACTAGTAGCATTAACACAGTATTAAGAAAACTACATCAACAATATGCCAAGATTAACCAAATGATAACTTGCAAAAATAATAAAGCACACACTAGGAAGAAATATAGACATTGGAAGATAAAAAAAGATAGTTATTTCTTAATATAAATGTTCCCGAGACCACAATAAGCCAATGTACTAGATATTTACTTATCGTCTTATCAATGAGATCTAGGAACACGCCGACTACGTCTCCCACAGACCATTGCTTGCCGAACGATTCTGTGCTACCGCTGAACACTTTTTCCTCCTTAAAAGTCGGGAAAAATAGTTTTTTACCTTATATCCAATGGATTAAAGACACTTTTTCATTGGCTACTTTAGTTGTACTAACGACCTTTTGTGTTTTATAACATGTACGTTGTAAAAGGTACTGTAAATTTAATTAGATAAGATTGAATTTTGATTGATGTTGATTCGTATAGTAATAAGTTTTATGACTGAAAGAAAATAGTAAAGAAAACGCTACTTTTGCATATGGAAAGCAAGAAAAAAATTTAACGTCAAGATTAAAATAAAAATAATATCACTCCATAGATTTTTTGTGCTTTAGAACAGAAATTAATGGAGCTGTCTGTTATCTATACTTTTTTTTTGTAATTCACTTTTTACTATTTTCCATAGACAAACAGTAACGTCACATTATTTTTTAAACGAAAAAGAAACAATACACAGAATGGATAATGGTCTTTTAGCTCACACAAAAGTCAATATAGATAGAATAATAAACTACATAGTTTCAACACTTAGACAACATCTTATTAAAGGTTTTTTTAAATAGAAATTGGGGCAAACAATTATGATACAACAGAGGTCAGCAGGAAAGGTGTTTAACGGAATATTATATGAGTTAACCACATAGTTATAGAAGGAGAATACCTGGTTCAAAGGTGCTATTCTGATTTATTCAGAAACTTCACATAAAAATTGTACCAGTATATTAGAATCGATCATGCGATCGGTATCGATTTCCGTATACCATAATTTATATGTAAGAAAGTACTTAAGTAGTCGCTGATATATAAAAATTGGTTTTATAAAGAATTTAGATTCGCTCTGATGACGAAAGGTAAAAGGAACACCGTATAAAGTAAATAGGTACTAAACTTTCATTGAATTCAACTTCAATTTTTTTTTATAAAAAACGTTGCCCCACTAGGATTATCTCTTGTCTCGTGGGTGCGTACAAATATACAAGTTCACATACACATGACACCCAGACCCGAAACAACAATCTGTGGATCACACAAAGTGTTCTTCCATGCGGGAATCGAACCCGCGACACGTTGCACGGTAGCCGGTTGCCCAGCCACCGCACCAACCGTGTAGTCGATTTGGATTGACAGAATGTCGATTGAAAACGAAGATTTTAACTGCCAAAATATCTACATATATGAACTTTAAAATTTACACAAGGGAAAGTAACAAATTCTAAATTGTCTAAATCAAATCAATCTAAATAATATGTATTCATACAAATCTGTAAGTTATACCTATTACAATATTTTAACCAAAAACATTTGAATTTGGAACTATTTAAAACCTTTTATCAGTTCATTAAGGTTTAAATTATCTTAAAATAAAATTAAAGCTTGTGCATTTTTTTAATGCTGTAGGTAGATTTGGCCCTTCACTCCATCACCATAAGGACCAAAATAGCAATCAGAATAGCACCTCTTGTCCCTATTTGTGGTAACTCACTAATGGTTTGGTCTGTGACATCGAGGAAGCAGCCGACTATGTCACCGACTTTGAGCTGAAGCCCAAATGTATCGGACGCCCCGCCGTGAACTTTTAACGACTGGAGTAAATAGCAATTTAATCTCTATTTCTATGCGGATTTAGATATATTTTTGATTGATAGTGAAGTGGTACATATGACGTTTTGAGAAGACAAAATTTAATTGCAAATTTTATATGTATTGTATGTAGTATAAGATCTATTTTTGATTGGATATGCGATGTCTTTAAAACTATAAAAGTTAGGATAATTATTTTGTGAAAATTGGACCTAAATTGGAATAGCTTTAGACACAAATTGATACTGCTGAATATATGAAATGTACCAATACATAAACAACTTAATTTCAATACAATTCCCTATTTATTTTGAAAAGAAAATAACTTCAATTGCCTAGAAAATAAAGTATAAATCATTATTATTATTATTATTGTAACAAATATTGGTTAGACTTACATTGTAACCATCGAATGCCCAGGAGTTTTCGTCTTGGCCAAGCATCATGCCTGGAGCCATATCGGCATGGGCCCAACCCACCTGTGAAAGAAACATATTTGATAATAATTTCAGTATTGTTCTACAACCTAAGTTCCAAGTAAACTAGATATTAAACTAATTCTTACAAGTAGTTGCATTATTAGTAAAAATAAACATAACAAAACAACATAACTTAACCTCGAAGGGGTAGGCAGAGGTGCACATTATGCCACAGCACAATGTGACACTCACTTTTCACTATTTATGTTATGAGTCCCATGTAATAGGGGGTGAGCCTATTGCTATATACCGGGCACAATTCCGGACTTCGTGCTACAACTGAGATTTTTTTTAAAACCCAGTAATACTTTTCCCGACCCGGGAATCGAACCCGAGACCCCTTGCCCGACAGTTGCGCTTGCGACCACACGGCCAACGAGGCAGTCTATATAGTAAAAATAAAGAAGTTCAAAAAGTTCGCTTACCCTCATCGGCCCAGCTGTAAGGATTTCGAACTCGAAGTACCACTTTCCGGAGCCGACAGCATAGTTCTTTTCAGCTCTGTACGTTCTGAACTCTGCTTGCTTCTGTTTTGATGCTTCTAACAAGAGGGCTGTGGATAAAAACAGGATTTGTTTATTATTTTTATATTTTAAACTGGGTAAAATTATAATTCACTAGCTTATACCCGAGGCTTCGCTCGCGTCACAAAAGGATAAAAAGTAGCCAAATGTGACATATAATAATACACACAGCGCCATCTATACCAATAATATCATTTTCCCTCGAGAATATCAAATTTTTCCGGGATAAAAAGTATCCTATTATTTAATCCAGACTTCTAACTTTACGTCTGCAAAATTTCAAAGCAATCGGTTTAGTAGTTACGGCGTGAAAGCGGAACAAACACTCAAACAAACAACCTCACTTTCCGATTTATAATATTAGTGAGGATTAACTCGTCGAGTACCGGTTTTGTAGACACAATTATAGAACAATAGGTTGCGGTCACCGGTGACCGCTTGGTGTTTGACAGTTTAATTCAAATAGATATTTAAAATTGTGTAGGTATCTATATTCTACAGAGTTGAGTTATTTCGGTTCTGTTCATTATTATGAAAACGCTTTTAAAATAAACCTATTAAGTTGTGTTTTTGACAAATCAAAGACAAAGCCTACGTAATTATTTTCCTTCTTATTAAACAAATACGAACTTTAACATCATATAATTAAAGTCCAATAAAAGCGCCATCAAGTTAAAGTAATATTCTGTATCCAAAACTAAACTTTGTAACTAAACATTACAATTCATTTTCCAATAGCAACATACCTTCATGCTGTTCTCCAGTGGGTGGGTCCAGGTTGTATCCGTAGACTAGTAAAGTCCTCACAGTCTCCGAGGCAGTATCTCTGTTGGCCTTCTTTATGGCATCGTCTACCTTCGGGTAGGGCACCAGGTGGGGGGAACGGTGCATGTCGGGGTCCTATAATAAGGAGATCTGTTAAAACCTTTTCTTTTCCTTTCCTTTTTTTAGAAAGGTTGCTCCGTACTAAGTTATTGTCCTGAGTTGTGAATACGTTTACAAACATATAAAATTTAATTTACACCCAGACCCGGGAAAACAACTTGTGGATTGCATAAAGAGTTGCCCCATGCGGGAATTGAACCTGATATACTCTGCGATACAGTCGGCTGCCCAGCCACCACAGCGCCAACATATATTACACGCATGCCACAATAGAAATAAAAAGCATTAAAAAAATTAATATCATCAGGTTCCTTGTAACCAGTCTCCTGTCTTAATAAATGTCGTCTATTGAAAACTATTAAATATATAAAAAGGTCCTACATAACACATATACCTAAAAGTAAAATACATCAAAGTCTGTCTAACCATTTCAGATATCAGTACCACAACACCATACAAAATCCACAAAACATATAAGTAATAATCTCGTTTACATCTATTGGGAAATTATAAGTATTGAATTCAGGTCACTGATGTAGAAATAATAATCATAAAATTTCATAATCATCAAATATCTGGACCACCTCTTGTATAATTAAAGAATTGCCTAATGTTTTTACAGTATTAAGGTATTGACTGCCAATAAAAAACTGTTGAAGGCAAATCCTCCGCTAATGTCGGTCACCGGTGACTGCCATGGCGTTTAACGTGTTAAGGACTTCATTGACTATGGAATTGTAGAAAGAAATATATTTTAATATTATGACATGTGTGACACACAAAATTTAATTTGACATTTTGGAATCATTATTTTGACATTACATAATAATTGATCAAATGAAATTGGATTTATATCCTATATAATGTACCTTATAAACTAACATTTGAATGCTTGGAAAAGGTGGAATATACTGTACTGTTGAACTTGAAAGTTAGACTAAGATCCATCACATCACATCACATCACATATTCCTACGAATAAATTTCTATTTCTTAGTCGTATCTTCTTTCTTGAATGTTGAGGTACACAGAGACATCTTGCTGTGACCCTCACACCTAATAAAACGGTCACATACTAAGTGTGAGAGTCACAGCTCATGGCACTGGTTACATCCTGAGACAGTAGACACCATTAACTCGTCGAGTACCGTCATAACACAATTAAAGAACAATAGGTTGCGGTCACCGGTGTCCTCGCGGTGTTTGACAGTTAAAACACATGGAACTCTTCTAATGTCGCCGCGTCGATTGCTTACCATCAGTCCTACTTATATGCCAATTTATCTTGTCCTAAAATAGTTTTTTTTTTAAACATTGCCCCACACTAGGATTTTCTCCTGTGTCGTGGGTGCGTTTACAAATATTCAAGTTCACATACATAATTATGACACCCAGACCTAAAACAACAATTTGTGGATCACACAAAGAGTTGCTCTGTGTGGGAATCGAACCCGCTGCACATTGCGCGGCAGCCGGTTGCCGACTCACCGCGCTAATCGTAAAAATAGTGATGGTGTAGCGTCTTCTTGTGAATTTAATTCCACTCTTGTGTATAATATGAAAAGGTTCATCATTATTTGTGCAGTCGTTTAGGAGCTCAGTAACATCTTGATCATATCTTTTAGTTGCTTTGAAAGATCACCGTGTGTTTTTGTTTCATATTTCCGACATAAAATTAGATTCTTCTGCCCTTAGATATTTTATCTTATTAGTTACATCCACGAAGTAAATACTTGCTTCATGGTTATACCAATATTTATACAATATCAAAAATAAAAAAAAGCATACAAATGGTCATTTAAACTAACCGTTCTCCTTAACATTGTAACAAATCTACATAAAAATGATTCCTAAAGTCGTACCATACCATAAGGTCTAAAATTATTTACCTCATTAAGTCCATATGTCCAGCCCTGCTGGATCCTCTCCCTGGCCCATAGATTGTGAGTGTTCTCAGCGAGTTGGTCCACGAGCTCGTCCATCTTGGGTGTCAGGGTGACAGCACTCAGGTCCAGGGGTGCTGGCTTGTAGCCGTTTGACTGGAGACCAAGATATTGTTATTCGTTATACTTTTTACAAGGTACATCTACAATATTGGTGGATCAAATACATCAAATTCATTATTCGCCAACATTGCTTTAGTCTTACAGATGAGCAACTAAGACGTGTCATTACTAAGTACTATTTTTTAAATCATCAGAAGGGTACCACAGGGTTCGCACTTAGGACCACCTCATATTTATAGTGTGGCGACGCAAATTTAAGTTTCGACACATGACAAATGACAGAAGTTAGATGACGCGCATAGATGATCGATGACACAAATTCTATATCGCTATTGTGAAGTTTTTTCTGCGAACAAACACGGATAGAAAATGCCAACGAAGCCCGCCGGGCATGATCATTTTGCTTGGGCGGAAGATTCTCCTTTCCTTAGATAACTTTACTCTCTGTTCCCTATAGTAGTAATAAAAACAGTGTGATAGATATAGAACTTTAAAGCTTCTAAATTACATAGGTGCTAAATTAGTGTTAGTCCAAAATATTTACTTAATTCTACATATAACGCATCTCACCTGCATGAACGGTTCGTTCGGCAGACGAACGTTGCGTATGCGCGCCGGCGGCTTGTCTAAGCTGATGTAGTAGCCTAGGGCCAGGATTGTCCTAGAACAAATATTTTTTTTAACGAAATGTTATTTATCCTCTAATTATTACTATGAACAGTTTGAATGAGGGCGCCGGTTCGAAACCTACCAACAGCAAGTACTAATGTTACTTTTTTCGAATTATATGTACTCTCTAAGGTTATTTAGACACAACTATACTAGGTACTTAAACGTAAACTTTAATATTATAGCTGAAGACAACAAAAATCTAAATCACTGTCAAACAGTGAAGGAAAACAGCGTGGGAAAACCTAAGTTTATAATTTCTAATCAAAAGTTTGAAATTGCAAACCCGCATTGAGCAAGCATGGCGATTAATGCTCAAACCTTCTCCGTGTGAGAAGAGGCCTTTGGTCAGCAGTGGCCAATTATAGGCTGTTGATTTTGATGAACAGTTTGATCTTAAAAGTACCTTTATTTCATAAGAGGTTCGGAAATGGTTTTCGTAAGAATTACCTTGAGAATAGTATTTATATAAAGTGACCGATAGAAACAACCGTAAAACATTTTGTGTTGCATTTTTTTTTTTAAGGGGGGAAAATCATCGAATGACTGCTCGCGCCTGGGTGAGGCGGGAGGGAGTGTCAGACTCTTACTGACTAAAAACCACCCCGTTCCTTCTCCTGCACGTCGAGCCGGAGCCCCGGTTACCCGTTAGGTTCTCCGCGACTCCGAATCGGCATCGGCCCTATTGGGCCCCATCTGTGGTGGTCTGATGGCTCTTTGAGGCGCGCGCGGAACGCGACGCGCCGTACGCTCGGGTCATTTTGTGTTGCATAGTAGTGATTTGTTTCGAACATTCTATGATTTTAGTATTACAATTAGGAAAAGAGAAGTAACTATACGATAGAACAATTTTTAAGTACAGTCAATTAAAACCAAAGAAGTTACTTGAGTGTTTGCACAGCAAGTTGTATGTCGTATCTCTTCTCCGCGGGAGGCAGGCGCTCGAAGGGGACCAGGCAGGGGTGGATCTTGTGCAAGTCATCGCGCTGGTCTCCGTACATCCAACCTGCTTCGATCTGGAATATCCAAAAACAATAATATAGTTACTAAAAATCGCGGGTTACTCACGTGAATATATTGAGAAAAGCTCTACTAGTTTCGAGCTACAGGGGGGCTCTTCCTCATGAGCAGCGTGCGCAGTCGTGGCTTGGGCTGCGCGACGTCGCAATGTTAAGTTAATTTAGTATGCCTCACAATAGTTATTATAAGAACAACAATGTATTTGTTTTTGATAAAAGATGATGGATGGCCAGAAATAATGAAGTCTTTGGAGAATTACCCTTAAAATGATCCATTAAACTGTCAAACACCAAGCGGTCACCGGTGACCGCAACCTATTGTTCTATAATTGTGTCTATAATGGCGGTACTCGACGAGTTAAAATAGAAAACTTCTGCAAAGAGTTTCTTTCTTCATTCAGGAGAGTCATTTATGTCCAATAACTTTACTATTAACACATTATTAACATATTTGTGCATGAAAAGACTTATGACTGTTGATGACGCGAAAGAGGTATGTAGAGAATTGTAGCAATTGGCATTCCATAGTCTCTGCCTACATGCATGGGGGACAGGCGTGAGGTTGTGTGTGTATTAACTTATAATGTAATCATATTTGTTATGACTTACCTTGTTCATGGCCCACATTTCATGAATATTTTCAGCTAGCTTGTCTCTGATCTGTTCCACGTATGAAGGTAATGGTATCTGAAAGTAAAATTACAATACATTATTGTAGCATAATTTTCTGAGTGGTTGAGAATAAACAATGATCAAATCCATTCATAATATTGGAGTCCAAGTAATCCGAGCTATCCATTCAGAATTTAAACGAGAAAAGTTAAATGCTATCATATAAAAGCGAAATGAAACAAATAAAAACGACTGCCTCGCTGTCCGAGTGGTTGCCAGTGCGACAGCCGGGCAAAGAGTCTCGGGTTCGGTTCCCGGGTCGGGCAAAGTATTATGTTTTTTTTTAATACTCAGTAGTAGCACTAAGTCTAGAAATGTGCCCGGTATATGGCAATAGGCTCACCCCCTAATACATGTGACTCATAACATAAAAAGTGAACGTGGGTATTATACCCACGGACTGTACATTGTACAGTGGTATTAAGTGCCGTAATGTGCACCTCTGCGTATCCCTTCGGGGATAAAAGGCGTGGCGTTATAATATAAAACAAATAAATTACAATATGGTGTATCAAACAAGTAATTTTCAAGTTGCAGTTGCATTTGGACCGCACAAAAAGCCAAAAAATATCATTAAAAACTTTTTACCTGCAGCGTATCAACAGGAGTTGGCACGAAAGCTGTATCATCCTGTACTAGCGGTGGACCAGCCAGAGCTCGCTTGGACAAGTTCCCGAAGTAGAAGCATGGCTCCAGGCTGAGGATCTGTTGAGGAAGGAGCGACTCCACCAGGGGAGAGTACCCCTCCGGGGCCGCGTAACGGAGCCGACCGTGCTCGCCTCCCAGGAGGAAACGACAACTGAGGAGAGAGGAACGAGTTATAACATCATACCGTAATCTCTATTTTATAATGATACTAGTATTTGTATTGTAACTTTCGTGAGACATACTAAATAAATTATTATGTTTTCGGCTTACTCACGCGGCGTCGCGTCAATGAATGTTGCGTCGCGGGTCGCGAAATGCTGCTCATGAATATCAGCCTCTAGCATGGCTTGAAACTAGTCGAGTTCCTCGTCGAATTACTACGTGAGTAAGCCGAAAACATAATAATTTAATGATACTTGTATGTTTATATTAAAAAGGATTTTATAATTTTTAACCTGAGTGACTCAAGTCAGGAATTAATTAAGATTTTTTTGGCACTTGCAAGTACCTTGTTGGTGTAGTGACTAGATCAACAATGTTGCTTCAACAATACCCTATTTACAATCAAGTAAACAATACATGTAACTTTACTATATTGATGACTATTACCACGTAAATAGGTAAGTTCGTAATAAATAAGTTCTCCGCGGTAAACAAACAGGGTAAGCTGAATAAAACCGTTTAAAAATAAAACTAATATATAAACGCTCACCTCAGCTTGCTCGAACAGCTGATGACAGGGAAGAACATGCCCTCCAGGTTGAAGTTCGTGAAGGAGCCTGTCACTCTCACGCCGTTGAACATGAAGTTGATGATAGGCACTGTCAGGTCTAAGGCGCAGCCGATGACATCACCTGTTAGGGGAAAATAGACTTTGTTATCTAGAATACAGAGTTGAAAAAAAGTTGTTGGAAGTACTCTGCGTAATTTTCATACGTTTTTGAAGCATTTTAGTTAGAGTTCTTTTAGAGTTACAATTACATATTTATGATCAAAGAAATAAATCTATTTCCAGAGTTTCAACTTTTGGATTACAAATTAAAGATTATAAGTTCTTCAAGAAAGTAGTAAATAGGTTTATAAAGCGTCGGCAATATGCATGTATTGCCCCAACTGTTGCAACCGTACATAGGCCACGGTAACCGCTTACTGTCGTGGTATTAAAATAAACATTGTATCAAAATATGGTTGGTAATATTAGTTGTTTTAATTTGGACTTAACTAAAAACTAAAAATAAAACAAATTGACAATCTAATAAAATAAATCCAAAAAACGAAACTGAGTCTAAATCAAGTTAATCTATCATCACCCACCTTTCCTAATATAAGGTTCTTCAGCGTGGGTCCTGTTAACCTGCGTCTTCCTGCCACCAGACCAGAGGTATGCTCCATCGAAACCATACGAGTATAGATCATCTCCCACACCGTTACCTCCCCACTTCTCACCACCACCAGGGTAGGGAACGTAGCTGGAATGAGGATTATTATTTGTAGAACTAGTATAATTTTTATAATTAGACAGGCATATGTCCGGAAACGTCGTGTTTGTCCGGAGGTTTAAGATGCCCGCTTCTCATGCATAATAGTGCGGGTTCGAAACGTACCAACGGCAAGTACCATTGTAACTTTTACCGAGCTATATGTACTTTCTGAGATTATTCAGACACCATTGACGAATGGTAAAGGAAAACACCGTGAGGAAACCTGTGATTATAATTTCTAATTATGAGTTTGAAATCACCAACTCGCATTGAGCAAGCGTGGTGATTAATGCTCAAGCCTTCTCTGTGTGAGAAAAGGCTTTGCTCAGCAGTGGGCATTTATAGGTTGTTGATGATGAGTGATCAACAGCGACAGTGACGACATATAAAACAAAAAGGGATAATAACAAAATTACCATAACTTTGATACTACGGCTTCACAGAGTACCGCCGTGAAACAACGCTTGCGTTATTTTTCATCGTGTGAGTAAGGTTACCGGAGGCACAATTACTCCCCCCTCCCAAATCTCCCCAATCCCCGAATCCCCATCCATCCTCAAATTCCTAATCCACAAAACACCGGTAACGCGCTTGTAACGCTTCTGGTCTTCCAGGTGTCCATCGGCTGATTGCTTACCATCAGGTGATCTGATTGCTCGTTTATCGGGTTATCCCATACAAAAACTCAATAATCTTACCCAGTAGTATTAGCCCATCCGATTCTAAGATGCGGCATCATATGTGTGGTCTTCTCGATGTGGTCCATGGTCACTTCAAAGTACCATTTACGGTACACTGCCGACCCTTCTACACGTCCCACGAAGATATTTGGACGAACACTGAAAAATTGAAATACGATTGATATTTTTGCAATAGGAACCTTATTATAATAGTGGTAGGATTGAAAATTATACATAATATTAACATTAGAGGCGATTTTATTCATCTGCAAATCACTAAACTTACATTAAGTTTTATTACAAAACAATATGGTTCAATATCATTGAAAGAATTACAATTGAGAACGATCAAGTTAAATCCAACTTTATTCTTACAGCAATTAAGTTCAAACTCACCTGGACACATGGTCTACTAAGGCAGTCTGCAATAGCAAGTTCTTGCCAGGCAGTAAATAGTCGCAGATATTGTTCTGTGACGAACGGACCGCCACCCCGTTACCGACGCAGAGTGAACATAGGACATCTAGTACTTTCGGGTCACGACCGTGCTTCTCAAGGAGGGAGATAATTACTTTTATGTGTTCATCCTGCAAGTAAAATGTTGGATTATGTAAAGGGTCAGATAGTAAGCCGTGTGAGGCTACGGGCTATGGCATCCCTACCCTGCCCGCTGGTGTCGTAAGAAAGGATGTTTTTTGACGTTCTATTTAGCGTCAAGCCTTATCATCATCTCCATATGGCATATGATGGCAAATCATTCCACAGTGCACTTAGCCCAGTATGTATTTGTCTTTACCATCCTCTATATAAGCTATTACTAAAATAAATTAACAAAATATAGTGTCATATGTTCCATGGCCAAAATACAAATCATTTCATACATATGCCAAAATCAAGAGTAAGGGGAATATATTTTTTTCTTTTATTTTTAAAAAATCGTTGCCCCACACTGAGGTCTCCTCCTATGTTGTGGGTGTGTTTTAAAAACATACAATTTGACAAACACATGGCACGCAAACCCGGAACAACAATCTGTGGATCACACAAAGAGTTGTTCCGTGCGGGAATCGAACCTATGACACGCTGCGTGGGCACCGGTTGCCCAGTCACCTCATCAACCGTGCTCCAATAACACATTATAAATCATCACAAAATTTTGAACAGGAACTATACGCACAATTTGTGATTTGGCATTAAGAAAATTGTATATTTGAATAATCTGGACTCCTACGTCACGTTCCTCGCGCGCCTCAAAATGCCATCAGACCACCACAGACGGGGCCCAACAGGGCCGATACGGAGCCGCGCAGAACTTAACGGGTTACCAGGGCTACGGCTCGAAGTACAGGAGTAGGAACGGGGTGGTTTTTAGCCAGTAAGAGTCTGACACTGGGTGCCGGTGGACCGCTTGGGTGAGGCGGGAGGGCAGGCCTTCGATAACTTTCCTTCCTTAAAAAAAAAAAATAATTCAGCGGTCACTCACCCTCATCATATTCAAAGCTTCAGGCGAGTCAATGAGCACGCAGTGTAGTACGTCCAACATGCCGGTCCCCTCGCCCGACGCCTGCGAGCCGAGCCGGGAGAACAACCAGTTCAGGCGGTTCGAGTTGGCGAACTGCGCGCAGTTCGTGTGGTTGCCCTTTATTATGGCCGCTGGGGAAGAAGGACATTCATTGGATATTGGTAATTAGACTAAAGGTTTTAATGTACATATTCGAAAGATTCAGCAATCGACCTTAACTCGTCGAGTACCGTCATTATAGACACAATTATAGAACAATAGGTTGCGGTCACCGGTGACTGCTTGGTGTTTGACAGTTTAATATACAATTTTAAAGATTATTTTTGAATAATGTCATAAACTATAGGACTTTTTGTTTAAAACCCAAATTGACACAGAGATTTCGGATTAAAGCCTCGGATTAAAGTTATTAATTACATCTGTAGGTCCTATTTATTTTATTGGTCGTATATTTACATTTTTGATGTATTAAAGTTATAATGAATGCGCTGAATTAATTCATTTACAGTTTTTTACATTTTCACAAACATTATGTCTGTTCGATTTATACAGAAGTTAATTAATTATGTCTATCCAAATGTCACAGAAGTAAATGTATTTTATAATTAATAAGTAATAATAATTATTAAATAATTATTCTTTTATGTAACGCAAATGGCAATCATTTATGAAAAGTCGTAAATAGTAATATTCTACACTTACCAAGCAACTGATACAGGTACCCCGAGATCATCTCCCAGCTCTGTCCAGACTCGTCTCCAGCCAGGAACCCAGCCAAGAAACCCTGCGATGTGATGACGTTGATCTTGTCGATGGCTTCGAGGATCAGGTTGAGGATACCTTCCTCTTGGAACAGGTCCTGACGGTTTCGGAGCGCGCGGAATTTGTTCTGTTTTTCTTCGTGCTCTGAAATTGAATTTGGTAGATTAGTTAAAAGACGTAATGAAATTGAATTTGGTAGATTAGTTAAAAGATGATGACTATGAAAAATTAGGTTTATTGTAAATTATTCTTTAAAGCTTTATTTATATAACATCCCGCCTTTTTATCCTCGAGTCCCATGTAATAGGAGGTGAGCCTATTGTCACATACCGGGCACATTTCCAGACTCCGTGCTACTACTGAGATTTTTAAAAACCCAGCAATACTGTCCTCGGTCTGGGAATCGAACCCGAGATCCCTTGCCCGGCAGTCTACATTAATCAAACGCTGTTCACTTACCCATATCCTCATCTGGCTGAGCGAAGTAGTTGATCAGATCCTCGAGGCACATCACCATCTCCCCAAGATTAACTGACGCGAAGAACATCGAATGACGACGGTTCTCTTGCAGAGTTTCAAGACCACTGCGGACAGAGGTTAAAAATTAATATATTTTTTTTATTTCTATATATTTTTTAAAAACCGTTGCCTCATATTAGTATTTATCCTGTATCGTGGGTGCGTTTACAAACATACAATTTCACATACATATGATACCCAGACCCGGAACAACAATCTGCGGATCACACAAAGAGTTGTTCCGTGCGGGAATCGAACCCGCGACACCTTGCGCGGCAGCCAGTTGCCCAGCCACCGCACTAACCGTGCAGTCGTATTAAAACAGTGTTTGATGGGTACCCAGGTACTGGAAAATACGATGTCCATAATTATTATTCTTCTGTCAGGTTTGGGATTAAATTAAATTATACTCCGTCTGTTTAGGTAGTTAACTATTTGTAAACAAACCATAAAAAGAGTTCTTTATAGTTGACATTTCCATGACTCAAAATACTTCATAAGAAAATAAAATTGTTTCCATTTTTACGACAGTTTTCTCTATTAAATGTTATGTTTCTGTTCCTTTTCACTTATTTCTAAGTAAATATTATATATATCTGCTTGAGCATAACAATTTAACAACATTTATTAAATAATATAATATTTCATTACAATAGACACCATAAAGAGCCTAAAATGCCAGGTATCCAAAACCTTTCTTTATGAACGAAGCATTAGACAATGTTGTCAAATTAAAGAGTACAAATAAGATGTAGCGCGTCAATGAAAGTAGCGTGTATTACGTTTAGTCGGTTAATCAGGCGCCATTGACAGCTCTCTCGTCGTTTGCGCTCGCGTTCCTATTTTGTTAAATTTATCTTGTTTCTTTGTTTTGTTTTTGTTATTACGTTATTTAAGTTTAGGTTATTCATCGTTTGTAATTAATGTGTTCAAATATATTGAAGAAACTTGACCCAATGACACATATCCGTACAAGAAAGAAATCCGTACATCAGATTCAGAATAGTTTCTATTTAAACATGATAATGAAATAGACCCATAGGCTAGGCTCTTGTACGATTTAGGCATTTGTGCTTGTATGTGTGTGTGACAAATGAACGATTTTAAAGTGAATTTAGTTTAAATTAAAACACGAGAAATATTCGAAGTAATAGAAGGTTAAGTATCTCTGTATCACGTGGTTTTGTTTGTTTACCTTTAGTTAATTACCTAAACAGATGGACTATAGATAGAACAATCCAGTTATCCAATAACCGAAATCAATAAAAGATTTTACTAACTGAATCTTAATCTATAATTATAAATATTTCCCTTGAAAAGCAACAGAAACAGAAAACATTGTTGTTTTGCATTGTCTATATATATAAAAATGTTTCCCGTTGTCACGCCATAACTTGAGAACGGCTAGACCGATTTGGCTGATTATTTTTTTGTTGTCTTTGTTATCGTTGGACAAGGTTCTTATGCCAGAAAAAAGTCCTGAAAATACTACGGTGATGGCAAACCGGGATTGCGCGTACGAAGTCGCGGGCAGAAGCTAGGTTTTAATATTATATAAATCTAAATCTTAGAAAGGGTCCTAATCCTTTCGACGTTTAGCGATGCCGTTAAGCATAGTACATTTTCTTGATACCAAAAGTCAAAGTCAAGTCAAAGCATTTATTTCAATTAATCCTTACTTTAACACTATTGGAACTCTCAAATTGAATTGAATTATCCGTCAGTCCGTCTGTCAGTGAAGTTAGACGCTGAAGGATGAGAAACGATTCTAAAAGGCAACTTACTTGATAAACTTGGTGAACAGAGACGAACACTTCCTAATGACTCTAGCAGTCCTGGACTCCTCCTCTTGTGACCTTGAGAAGTCTAGTCCGTCGTCCATCTTGCCTTCCTCGTGAAGGATCGCTTGCTTCTCTTCTACTTTACCTACTCCTTTCTTCTTTGTCTCGTACGACTGTAAAAAGCATGTACTTTTGGTTTAATGCGTCAATAATAGTTTAGTTTAAAGACAGACAGACTGCCTCGTTGACCGAGTGGTCGCAAGTGCGACTGCCGGGCAAGGGGTTTCGGGTTCGATTCCTGGGTCGTGCAAAGTACTACTGGATTTTTGATAAATTCTCAGTAGTAGGAGTCTGGAATTGTGCCCGATATAGGCTCACCCCCTATTACATGGGACTCATAACATAAATAGTGAAAAGTGGGTGTTACATTGTATAGTGGCATTAAGTGCCGTAATGTGCACCTCTGCTTACCCCTTCGGGGATAAAAGGGGTGATGTTATGTTATGTTACTTTTGCATGAACAAATTTTGGAGATTTATATCAAGCGATTCATTTGAAACTTGAACTAAAATTATATATGTATATTTTTACTCTATTTACTAGAAAGCTTAGCCAGTTAAGACAATAAGTAGAACTAGTTACCTTATAAGAGAGCCACAACCCAGTCTCTGAATGCTGTACAATGACAGTGGAGTCACCATACTTGATGATCGGAGCGCCTATAACTTCCAGGTCCTTGTCTTCCAGCACCTGCTTCTGATCGTCCTTCTCTTGGCGGAGGCAGAACGCGCAGGACGCTGTTGTGGCTTCCTCTCTAAAGGTAAAACAAAGTAGTTTTATAAAACGTAGTTCCTATCATTTCCAAAAGACAAAGACGCCATTTTCATTAGTGTGATGATCTTTTCCCATCAGCTTAAAAAATTACGAATAAATTAATAAATTCGTGTTCGAGGATATTTGGGTTTACCTCTATTTTTCAGCTGACAGCTGAAAGTGACTGCTTTTTTGCAGTTGGACAATAAGGAGAAATGGTGCTAAAAATTTAAAACTATGTTTAAATCTTTAAATATATAATTCTTCTGTGAGTGTGTATGTCACTGAACTTCTCTCAAACCACTGGACCGATTTTGATGACATTTTTTGTGTGTATTCAAGGCGATCTGGGAATGGTTCAGATTCACAAATAAGCCTGGCAGATGGCGCTGCAGTCGGTGCCTAGGTTAGTTATCCTAAACGGCTGAACTAATTTTAATGAATTTTTGTTTATACATTCAAATGGATATGCAGGACAACGTCTGTTGGGTCCGCTAGTATCCATGTATAATAATATAATGTAGTCTAGATGTAGGTAAGTACATCAAGTAATGCTTTTGATGCTCTTGTAATAATTTGGATAGTTACCACTACCTCTCGTAGTCGTAAGCCTTTTGCAGCGTTCTACCTACCACATATATTTCTGCACTAACCAAAGGATGACTGGCAGAGAATGCTGTTAGCATTCTTTCTTCTTTTCTTCATACAAAATTTAAATATATAGAGGTAAATAACTATCAATAATTGATTTTGATGTTCAGAGATGGCATTGTTTTTGTGTCACGATATACACAAATATTTTCAATCATTGTCTTTTTTTGTGAGACATATTCCTCAACATTGTCATTTTAAAAATATAAAAAAAACCCTACATCATGAGACAAACAAAAACCAACCCACCTGCTAACTAAATACAGCTCATTCTGGTCATTGACTCCGAGGTATCTGCCAGTCGTGATGTGTCGGATTCGCATTGGGTGGTACCAGTTGATGAAGCCTCCTGCCCACTTGGTGCGAGCTAGTTCTAAGCGCCATAGTGAACGAGCTTGTGACATCACGGAACCGCCCTCGTAGACAACAATACTGCAAAGAAATTCATATTTTATTTCAAAAATGACAGTAACGTTTAATTGTAGTTGATTACTCACAGAAAACCGACTTGAAGCAACGCTTGCGTTGTGTTTCGTCGTGTGAGTGAGGTTACCGGAGGCCTAATTACCCTCCTCTACCCTAATCTCCCCAATTCCTGAATTTGGTCGTCAAATTCCTAATCCCCAAAAGGCCGGTAACGCACTTGTAATGCCTTTGGTGTTCCAGGTGTTCGGGGCGACGCCGATTGCTTACCATCAGGTGATCCGTCTGCTCGTAAATATAATATAATAAAATAATTCATTGGATTATACTAATTATATAAATGATTCTTAGTCGGAAATGGTTGCACATTTTTACATTACATTTTTTCTAAATTAGATATTTTAGCAAGATTTTATTATAACAGAACTGTAATCACCATACACATTGCTCTAAGCAACCAATATTGCCTTTATAATAACCACCACTGCCAGCCACATTCACCAACCAACATTATCCTGGCCAGACACAGTCCCGCTGCAAAAATACAACAATTATTTAAAACCGACTTACTTCTGTCCCCCATCTTTAGTCCACGTACTGGGTATGGTGAGACACTCGTCTCCTCCGTGGAAGAACCTCAGGACATCACCTCCGAAGACATAACCCACGTACTTCATACGAGAGATGCCAGTACCGTATGGTTGCACTGACCAGTGAGTCACGTGGAATGAAGCGTTCACTATCGATACTTCATTTTCTTTTGTAGTGTGCTGTGAAATTAAATTAAGTAAAAATTGGGTTCAATAAATTTGGTATGGGTTTTTATTTTATTTGGGACTTTTCTGGTTTTAAAACAACCAACGTGATGTTGATTTGTTACAATTTAATTGCGTAATAATTATTAAATCAACTATGAGAATATTTTATAGTTTACATTATTGCAATAGTGCAAACTGTATGTCATTTTAAAAAGTTTAATAAGTATATTTTTTACGCCATGTAAGAAAATAACATAAAAGTTTTTGTAATACATTTAAACAAAAGTATAGATTCATGATACCCACGTATACAGTATGAAAACTAGTAAAAACCAAAATGATACATTTATCTAGTGCTCATAATGTGTTTTACTTTACAAATACGTTCACAACATTTAAAAATAAAATGAAACAAATAAATGTGTCGACAGACCAAACTGTTGATAATATTTAAGAATTGGGTTGTATCCAGGGTATCAAAATTAAAAATCTAATTAGTCCGTCAGTTATATTATTATTTTCTCGTATTAAGTTGCAATACTTAGATAAAATGGCGCTAAGTTTAGGAGTGGGGGGTCGTTATGTCATAACGTGCTACAAAATGTGACACGCTGTGACGTCACACGATATGTCAAATCAATATATCGTCGAAAGTATTTAGTTTTTAATTACGTGTCTAAAGTTTTAAATTAACATACCAGACGGACATTAAAATACAATCTAGGAAACTACCCTATTCTATTTCTGAACGCAAAATTAAATTCATTAAAACAATATTTAATTGAAAGCTAAAAATAGCTGATTTAATGAGCTATTGTGATGTTGTGAGACAAATAAATGTGCTATGCAGATTCACGATGATTTTCCAACACAATATAAAAATAATAATGTAATTAACTTCAACATATAAACGCAACATATAAAATGATCACAAATGTACACATATTACATTAATATTTAGGCCATTAGGCTTTAGCCTCACCGACAATATAAACCTGAGTCCTTTCGTGATGACTCGCGGAGCACATTCTGATGGCGACAATATGACCTTGCCCTGGGTTAAATAATTACTTAATATTTATTTTAAAATCTTGGTATGATTCAAAATTATACAATGTAATAAATTATCTTTAAACAGTTGTATCTTGAACAAAACTACATTGCAAATCTTTGATATCTTTTCTCAGATCGTGTTCCGTTAATAAATCGCAAGTACGTACTTGGCCTTATAATTCAGACGCCTTTAAAATAAGGAGTGTAAGATTCAAAATTGTACTTACCAAGTATCTTTCAGTAGCCACAGATACCAGAATCAAGTCATCACCGACTCGGACTTTCTCACCCTCAGATCTGTCGAATGACAAAATATACAAGTTTAATTGACAATGTTTTATTACCTTAAGTATCCATTTGTTCAAGCATATTCTTATTTATGTGTACAATAGACTATACATTTTCTTTGAAAACAAAATGAAACAGATCTAGTTTCAACAATTCCAGATAATAGAGTTTTTGGTAAGAAAATAAAACTCATATAACGCAATATATTTTTCTAAATCGAAAAACCAACAGGAATTTAGCGGATAACGTATTTAATGGAAAATTATAGAGCATTTATTCACTTAACAAATATGGTCACAATAATGTACCACTTTGCCAATCCCGAGGCTTAAACTTTTTCTGTCAAATTCTAATATTAGACCCCGAAGTATGTAGGTATGCATTCGGCTTGTAATAAAGATCTAAGTAAGAAAACTTTTCCCCACTGTCAATAAATATAAAAACCCAATGCAATGCAATAAATAAGGTGTTACCTTTGTTTGCTGGCAGGGTGCAGCGTCCACCAGCAGGCTTCACCCTGCGAATGCTCTTGCAGACCCACGTCAAAGGCCAGCTTGTCCTGAGATGAAGAAGTCGACAGACAGGCCAGGTACTGGAAATCAGAAGTGGCATGTCAATTACAAAAAGGATTAATGAATTACTTAGAAATGTAAATCAAAATGCAGCGATAATTAACTCATTTGTGTTCATTAAAACATGAAAAATATAGTTTTGTTAAGTTGTTAAACTGTAGCGCTAAATTACGACAATAAATTATAGACTTTATAACTAACTTATAAAGTTGAAATTTGTGCACAATTAATTAAATTGTCGGTTTTGATAAAAAAAAATGAAAATATATTTTGTGTCTTATATACGCCTGTGACACACTCGACGAGTGGTATGGGAAGTAACGAGGAAAGGAGGCAAAGACTTAGTGTGCCAACATTACTCGTCATGCCACACGTCATACTCTTCGTCCTGCCCACTGCTTCCTATTTTGTCGGTTTTTGCGCGCGAGTCAAAGGAGTGCCTCGTTGGCCGAGTGGTCGCAAGTGCGACTGCCGGGCAAGGGGTCTCGTGTTCGATTCCTGGGTCGGACAAAGTATTACTGGGTTTTAAAAAATTCTCAGTAGTAGCACGGAGTCTGGAATTGTGCCCGGTATATGGCAATAGGCTCACCTCCTATTACATGGGACTCATAACATAAATAGTGAAAAGTGGGTGTTACATTGTACAGTGGTATAATGTGCACCTCTGCCTACCCCTTCGGGGATAAAAGGCGTGATGTTATGTATGTATGTCAAAGGACCGGCAATACGAGGAGGAAACGAGGACCGGCAATAGGAGCGTCGCAATGCGCGAGTAAAGCAGTGTGTGGGCAGAGAGGGCAACATCGCGGCAAATCGCGGCAGTGCGAGGAGCATAGCCATGAGCAGCACCAGGAGCAAAGTCTGGCAGGTGCAATAGATACATGAAAATAAATGAGCTTACCATGTCACTGTTGAGATGTCGTAGTAGGATAGCATTGCCGTACAACAGGGTACGATGACCAGAACCGGTGCCTTTACCCTGGAATAGAGTAAAACATAGGGTAGAAGTACAAGTACCACATGTTCGTATTTTTCAGCACTACCTACGTAATATTGAGAATTGAATAAAAATCGGGACAAACTAATATTCACAAAAAATAGTCATATTATTAGGGTCTATAAAGAAATTTTTGAAATAATAAGAAAAAAATCTAATTAATTTATTGAGACATAAACATCAAAATAAAAACTAAACAATAGAATATCAACACATTATTTATTTATCATCAATCTAGCCTTTATTTCGACCTTAATCGAATTATGGCCGACCTAAAATAATGACAGGACAATTTGACACAACAATACATCACTGTCGAACAGTTTTGCTGAATGACAATCAGTTTGACATTGCTTGAATAATTAGGGCAAGAATTATGGCAGCCATTTTAATTATAAATATCTTTGATATGTTGGACGACATTATTTCACACCTCGAGAGCTATTAATTGGATGATGAGTAGGTCTATAATTAGTTTTATTACAAGACTCGGGTCTCTCGCATAAATATGTAGATATAGTTGCCATATAGTAATTAAATCTATATTCCCCGAAAGACTTTCAATATGTAGATAACAGCCATAAAGTAATTAATACCACATTTTCCGAAAGACTTTCAAAAGTAAAATTATAATAGGTAATAGTGGGAAACATTGTTTGCACGTTATAATCAATCTTCAAAATGACTTTAACCTAGCATTTGGGCCGTTTGGGCCTTTTTTACAGTGGGGAAAGTCACTCAATGACTTCTCCAGCCTTTGGAGAGGCGAGAGAGTGTTAGACTCTTGCTGACTAAAAACCACCTCGTTACTACTTGTGCTTCGAGTCAAAGCTCCAGTAGCCCGTTAGGTTGTCCACAGTTCCAGAGCCATAAAAGTGCCTACCAGTCTAATAAAATTTAGGTAGGTATATATAAACCCAACCAAAATTGATTTTATTGATATTTTTTACGGAAAGCCAAAAACAATAATAAAATTTTCGCAGTTGTTAATTTTGTATGAAAGCCAAATAATTTTGATAAATATTTAAAAGAAATACAATATTTATTACTTAAACACTAATTATTTAGGGTTATTAAGAAGAGGTTTCAAAAATAATCTAAACTACTTTTTAAAGAGACATGCGAAAGATTAAAGTTAAAGAGAAAAGTGTTTAATATACCATCTTGATGTATGTAGAAACACGCTGTATAAGGTTCCCAAGGTCAAGGACAATTATTTACAAACTTAGGTCATTCTCGAAAAACAAAACTCTTGTTCTTTTTTTTGCTTTTGGGGGATAAGTCAAATGGATCGAAAAGGGTTTTCAAGGTTACAAGGCTTTTTTACATTATTTACAGTAATTTTTTTCTCTATATTTTTGTTCTCAATTCCAAATTAATTTAATAAAAATCATCACTGTAAAATTGCAGATGGTATGATTTTCGAAAACTAACAAATAAATTAGTAAGTTTTATTAGCGACCACATAAATGAATTTTGACAGTTAAACCACGTATTAAAAAAATGGTTAGGCGAAAAAATTTTGTCAGAAAAAAATTTGAAAAAAAGTTTAAATGTAGCCAAATTTTTTAACCAATTAGCCAAAAATGTAAAATGATATAGCATGCAATTTTTACCGAGAGGCAGATATACTCACTAAGTTTTCTTTTCCCTGGAAAAATTTAAACAAAAGGATCGCAATACATAAACGAAATTATTCACAATAGGACAAAAATAATCAAAATATTGTTAAACACGACATTATAGATATAATATGGAGTGTACAAAATCATACAAAAGATTTGCCATTTGAAATCTTTATAGGACTTTAGGAATTAATTTCACCACTTCAACATTATTATAAAAAAAAACAAATAAAAAAAATAAGCGACTCTGACAGATTCAATAAATTCAAATACCGAACATAATTTACATTTTAATAAAATTAAAGATAGAAAAACGAATATAAATAAACAAGTAAATAGAACCTTGTAAAAATAGATAAAATGGTGAAACCAAACCATATTAGAACATAATTTAAAGTGTAGTTTAGTCAAAAAAAGTAAATAATTGAAAATTATTCATAGGGTGGCATTATTATACTTCGGAAAGGTTTTCAAAATGTTAATTTTACAGGTACATATAATTATGAGATACTTGATGTACATTAAAATTAAAATTCTGTATGATACTTACAGTTTCAGACCCTGCAGCCGTCACCAACTCTTGCAACGCTCTTACTGATAAAGCCTGGAAGGAAAATAAAGTGAAGATAAATATTAATGGAAATATTTCACATAATATAATTTTTGAGCATAACTTTCGAGGCGAAAGGGGCATTTTTTACTTTCGCGACGAAATGTCAACGAACTGATGATGGCTTTTCCATTTTCAAAATGTTCAATTATGACTGAGACTGATGAAAACCAGGTTTACTCTTGTAATATTATAAATAACATTTATGCAATCTTGAGCTTATGCCTATGAAAAAATATTATTTTTAGATGAATTTGCTTTTGTCACAGTTTACAGACCAAATTTGAGAAACTTACTTCTCAGTTAAAGGAGATGAAATTACCAAAATAAAGCTCCCTTTAAAAGGCATTAAAAATTATAAATAAAGTTCTACACAAAAAAGTACCTGTTCGATGACAAACACACACTGTGATAGATCTGGCGGTATGTTCTTATCGGCGATGTTCTCGAGGAAACAGTGTCGGTTACCGAACCCCTCGGCCGCCAAACACACTCTCTCGCCAGTCGCCGTGCATGACAGGCAGACCATGTCTTCCTGTAAACAAAGAAAAAAAATTTTAGGAGATATTGCGATTGATGAGTTTAATTGTTTGAATGTCTGCCTGGTTGACATTGCCAGACATCTTATCTAGTCTAAAATAGTGTGTATGAATTAATTACAATTATCATAAAAATGTTAACGAAGAGAAAATGTTAACGGAAAACGGTGAATAATATCACTTGTTATTTTTCTATATTATCTAGGTACTTGTTGTTTATCATTTTTTTTGCGTGTGGTCCTTCCTCTAAATATTTAATCAGTAACGTAAATAGTGGAAACAATTGTTTACACGGTTGGTGCGGTGGCTGGGCAACCGGCTGCCGTGCAACGTGGCCCGGGTTCGATTCCCGCACGGAAAAACACTTTGTGTGATCCACAAATTGTTGTTTCGGGTCTGGGTGTCATTGTGAACTTGTATGTTTGTAAACGCACTCACGACACAGGAGTAAATCCTAATGTGGGGCAAAAAAAAACAGAAACGTTGGTAAATAAATAATGTTGGCTATTTTCAAAAAAAGGTAATGATGACTTATAGTATCTTGCGATTCTAATAAAAATATGTCTAGCTATCCTAGAGCACTAAAAAATACCCTAAGGCTTTCAAATTAAAGGGACCCTTTTCAAAAACCAAATGCACCCCTAAAATCTTAAGTGCTCCTCGCTTTCCAAAGATCCAATCTAGACTTTTGAAAGCCGTAAAACTTGATAATTACTTTAACCAAGGTGTGAAGTTCATGAATATTGTATTATGACTAGATTTAGGGATGATAAATTAATTTTGGAGGTTTGAGAACCAATGGATTTAGTTATTAAAGGGATTCTGCAGGCTCAGTGGGGAATGGGGGGCATATTGCCGCTTTAATATTTGAACAGATTGCGCCAGACTCGTTTGTGGTTTCTGGCCGAGAATGGTCAATTTTTGGGTATGTTTTTACAATGAGTTTGGTTGAAAATTGTGAATATTTAGGTCTTTTTTTCTTTTAAGTGTAACAAACAAGTGAAACAAGGATGACCTTCGGATAAGGATACATATACAATTATACATACATAACTTCACGCTGGTCTCCCATGGGGGTAGGCAGAGACTAGGGAACGCCAATTACTACGATTCCTACATACCTCTTTCGCTTCATCAACAGTCATCAATCTTTTCATGCATGCTCGTCGGATAAGGATAGTCAGAATTTAATTATTGTCAGATCAAGTAAATTAAGATTTTCATATTCACTGCATATTATTATAAGCTGGGAGTTCAAACAATGTGTCTAATGTAGGTACCGACGACTGCTTTATCATCATCATCAGCCTGTAAGTTTTTTTTTTATGGCATAAACCGGTAAACGAGCAGACAGATCACCTGATGGTAAGCAATCGGCGTCGCCCATGAACACCTGGAACACCAGACGCGTTACAAGTGCGTTACCGGCCTTTTGGGCAATAAGAATTTGAGGATCGTTGGGGATCCAGGGGTTGGCGAGATTGGGGAAGGGGTAATTAGGCCTCCGGTAACCTCACAAACACAACGCAAGCATTGCTTCACGTCGGTTTTCTGTAGGGCCGTGTTATCATTCCGGTCGAGCCGGCCCATTCGTGCTGAACTATGGCTCTCACACACTGAAAAACTAACTAAAACAATGCCCACTGTTGAGTAAAAGCCTCTGTTCACAAGAAGAAAGTTAGAGCGTGTATTAAGAAAGTTAGAGAGTAGTGGATTGGCGATTTAAACTTATAATGTGAGAATAGTCCAGTCCAGATAAGTCCAGGTTTCCTAAAGATGTTTTCCTTCATCGTCTGTCAGTGGTGTCTATTACGCGGAAAAAGTCGCATTGGTTGCCCGGGTTTCGAACCCTCACCCTAATACACAAGAGTCACCTTAACCTCCGGGCCACCACGACATTAGTTTATAAGCTTACCCTTCATTAATGCTATGGTAGAAATATCATGATATATGTATGTATAGCTATGCCAATGAAATGAAAAAAAAAACTAAGTGTAATAAGTTCACCTTGACCTCTATCAGTGATTAATGGCGTTGCATCATATTTGACAAAACATAGCCATAAAGTTATCTAGTGACAATCATTTTCAAAACTACAAACAATTGGGTACTTTCCTTAATTAAAAATAAATTATTTCGACTCTTCAATAAAATTAAATATTAAAAAATTATCATACTGTCATGTCAATAATTGATTTTAAGACCGACTTAATTTTAGTATTTTTCCAGCAATTTATAAAGTAATAAGTATGCCGTTTGACGCTAAAAAACCGTGTCGTCACAATACATAATCTCGCACAAAATTCATAGAAAACTGTCGTTTTTGACAGTTCGAAAGAAGTATTGAATTTGACTAGTTGGCAAGTACCATTTTCATAACTGTAAACTCAATAAACCGTACTACAATACTATAAACCGTATACGGTTCATATCCGGCACGAGTATCGTACGCATTATACACATGTAATAAATTCCTAGACAGTTGTTTTAAACTGTCAAACACCAAGCGGTCACCGGTGACCGCAACCTATTGTTCTATAATTGTGTCTACAAAACCGGTACTCGACGAGTTAATTTTCGTCCTTGTCACCCTTAATTAATTATTTAGCATCATGGCCTCATTATGACTTTCATTTGGTTTTTTAGGGTTATACTGGAAAAAAAGTTTCGAGTATTGTTTACTCCTACGAGTTTTTCTTTTAAAACATGTTAATACCGTCCCCTTGGTCGATTTTTGAGCGAAGCTTTTTGGTATCGATTGGTGAGTCGGGTAAAATAGAGATATGTTTTTATAATAAATATTGTGGAATATGCTGAATTAACTAAAAATTACGAGTTTCTCACGTAAATATATTGAGAGTAGAGATTTTAAGCTCTACAAGTGCGGCGATGTCGCGCAACCTACTGTAGGCTGCGCGACATCGCCGCGCACGCTGTTCATGAGGAAGAGTCCCTCTGTGACTCGAAATTAGTAGGGCTTTTCTCAGTATATTTACATGAGGTAGGTGCGACTGCCGGGCAAGGGGTCTCGGGTTCGATTCACGGGTCGGGCAAAGTATTACTATGAAACAACAATTTGTGGATCACACAAAGAGTTGCCTCGGGCGAGAATCGAACCCGCGACACGTTGCGTGACAGCCGGTTGTCCAGCCATCGCTCCAATCATGCCGTCTTTAATTGGATGAACCAAGTAGTGATTTAAATCAATCAATCAGATTCGTCATATAGACAAGACGATATTATAATTATAACGTAACGCAATACTAAAAACTCCTAACGTATGTAATGCCTTGTTCACACTACTCTAGTAGGTATTTAGTAGTAATTTAGTAGCTTTCTCACGCTACTATCTCATAGTTGTTCGCACTTCACTAAACTATTCGACTAAAATTTGGTGTTCAGACATAACTACACGACACAACACACTATGCCTGAAGCCTTGTTCGCACTGCTCTAGTATTTTAGTCGAATAGCGAGTATTTAGTAGTCTTCTCTCGCTTCTGTCCCAAAATCGCAGCGAGAGAGGTACTAAAAACTCGCTACTCGACTAAAATACTACCGCAGTGCGAACAAGGCTTCAGGCATAGTGTACAACAAAAATATTAGCATAGTGCGGAGTACGCATGTGCAGCAACATCATGAAAAGAAAGTATCACATCACGGTATTTATTTCCCTGACCCGGAAAATTAAACTGATTGAATTACCCAATGATTAAGTTAACCTCTCCTACTAATTTACCCATCAATCCATTTCCATCAAGATATTTGCCAACCCTACAACTGTTTACTCAAACACGCACAAAATAAATCTTCCTTATAAATTCGTTAAGTAACTCGACACCTACTAACGGTATAAGTAAACAAGGTCTAATTTCCCATCACACAAAAGACGCGATTAGTACCAAACGTAATGGCGTTTCCCTTTCAATTTAGGCGTTAATTCCACACAATAGTCGACGTTAGCGCCTCCGCGATTCGCATTTGCAACAATCATTTTCTTCTTGTTAGGGTTGGCACTGGAGGTTTGTGAATTCTATAAAAATATTTTGTAAATACATATTTCGTATTCCTTAACTGACGAGCATGCATGAAATTGACGTGCTATAGTCTCTGCCTACCTCCAAGGGAGACAGGCGTGAGGTTATGTATATATGTATAAAATATCACGCTATTACTAATAAGAGCCGAGTAGCGGGTAAAACAGCACGGTCGTAGCTAGTAGTTGAATAATGAACGACCATTACAACTCAGTGTTAGGGCTTGTACACAAAACTCGCAATACAATGCGAATCCGCAACACAGAAAATTACGACACGAATTGCTGCGATGTGACTTCGTGCGACAAGGCTTCTCCCAGGGTGACCATTCCTTCGACGACCGTCAAGCGTACTACCATATTTTAAATTGAAAACTAGGTCGTGTCATGGATCGTAAACAGAACTGTGCACTTTTGTTATTGCTCAGGAGATACATGAAAAAGAAACAAAGAAGATTCTGGGAAGATAAGATTTTGATCCGCAATGCGAATCAATTCGCAAGTTCTTGCGATGCGTAGAGGGAGCTCGCACATTTTTGCGATGTGAAGTCGCGTTGCAGTTTTGTGTACGAGCCCTTACAAAGTGATAAAGCAATTTATAACCAACATTACATTACCATTCGTATAATTAGAGTTAAAATTAATTTGACGCCTAATTACATTAGTATTGTAATTAATCGTTTAATTTATTGACATTGGACATGAATGTAACGTTGTTGCGTTTTGTTAGCACGGTCTTATTGGATACACGTACAACTGTCCATTGAGATTCAATTTTGAGATAGGAGGGAAAAATATTGATTCTACTAGTTTTTACACGCGGTTTTGCCCGCATTTGGCTTATGTGTAATTTCAGAACATAATCTAGCCCTGTTCTAAATTTAATCTCAATCCCTTTAACCGTTTGGACACGAAGGAGTAACAAACAAATAAATAATAAACTTACACATATATAATACG